AACAGATGTTATTAGTTAAAAGGAATTCAGTGCTGGGGAGTAACAGATTACATGTACCGACGTTAAGTAATCAGAGTAGAAATTATGAGTAACTGTATTCGGTTAAAGTTACTATTTCAATGAGTGGTAATTGGATTACAGTAACTTTGTTGAAATAAATAGATTACATGGCAGTATTTTCCTGTTTTCACATTTTGAGCGATATCCCTTTTTAAAAATTTAGGTAATTCCACTCATTGCCGGAAACCAAAACATTAACATTGGTGGTGTCAGTCACACAATGGACGAGGTCGAGGAGCCAGTAGAACAGATCCAGCAGTCCACGGGCAAAAACGCACTTGTGTCTTCGAAATTCAGACATCACTTTGTATTTAAAGAAGAGAGGGACGGGCGTGTGGTGGATGTTGTAGGCAGGGGTACTCCGACTATCCACCCGACGTGAGATATAAATAAATAACAAATATAAAATTGCCTACAAGTTAAATATCAAACCAGGGCGATTGGCATTGGTGAAAACAAACTGCATAGGCTTATTATATCTGCAGGACTGTCCTACAGTGACCTGAGACACGCTGCATTCAAGTATTCAGATTACGTGACTCACCTTAAGTAACTTAATGGATTATGTTACAAACTACATTTTGGGGTATGTAATCAGTAATCTGTAGGGTAATACATTTTAAAAGTAACCTTTCCAACACTGAATGCATTTACGTTTACTCGTTTAGACTTTAGGTCAAATAATGTTTATTACAGACACTTCAATGTTAAAGCTGCACTGTGTAACTTTCGTTTAGCCCAGGGGTGTCAAACTCAAATTCACAGAGGGCCAGAATTAAAAACTGGGACTAAATCGTGGGCCATACTTAATATTTACTGAAAAATTTCAACAGCATCTGCATGTTTTCTTTTCTTTGATATGTAATGTTAAACCGTTTTTTATTAAAATAAATGTTAAATAATAGTTTTGCTTAAACACTGAATCCAGAACAAGCATAATATAAAATAATAACAACATTTTAAATAAATAATGTCTCTGTAGTCTATCTGTAGCCGGCGGGCAGCTCTAATACAGATTTGACATGATCTCGCGGGCCAAATATAATTATATCGCTGTTCAAATTTGGTCCCCGGGCTTGAGTTTGACATGTCTGATGTAGAGAGTCCGCCACCTTCTTGTCTTCATGGAAATGCTATTGCTTTGCCTAGAATGTCCCACCGTATGGCATTAAACGTATCTATTTCCATTTAGACAAGCCCGCAATGCCTCCAGGCCAAGTTACAGGTCAGATCGGTGGAGAGGCAAGCGCACTCACTTAGGAATGCATGTTTTCGTAGTATTTTTGAGCAATAAAGTGAGTTTAATGCCATATTGTGAAACTGCTTCAGGCAAAGTAATAATATCTCCATGGAAACAAGCTTATGGCAGACCCCCTACTAGAAAAGAAAAGGGCCAGTATTGCATTATTTTCTGATTTATGTCAAAAACAGACCTGGAGTTGTGTTTTGTTCTGTTCACACATGTTTAACACACAAACCCTGCATATTTAGGTTGTGTTAGTTGTTCCCTTAAACTGAAAACACACTGTTCCACCTCGTGATGTCATGTGGTAATACAAGAAATGCTCCACTGTGTTTTCAAACTCAGATTTCTTTTGCAACTGATTCATAATTGTGACTGAACTGAAATGTACTGATCTGAAATGTTTTAAAGCAGGGGTCAGCAAACTTTTTTCTCTGGGGGCCACATTATCGCTCCTGACTGTGATGGGGGCCTGGGTTGGATCGGCTGTATAACAGAATTGCATGACCCTGACGATGCAGATTATATTCTTTGGAAACCGCCGCACTTTTTTTTAATATATCAGACAAACTGCACGGTCCTTACACTAAACAAAAAATAATCGGTCGTCCACTGTTCTTTGAAAACTCTGCACTCACACTTTTTGTACTTTAACACGAGTCATTTTGCTGTCCTTAACTGCACTACAGAACTCTGCGTGTGCATTGACTGTCACTGTTTGATCTCAAGCTTCTCATGTGACAAAAATTTGGCGGTAAATGTAAATACGTGACATAATAATTTAAATACTTCACATAAGTATCATTTTTAATTGAAAAAATCAGCAAAATAAAAGATGCAGACATGTTATTTTATGCCAAAAAGTAATTTTAAAAAATAGGCCATGACAATTTTTGAGGATTGCATCATAGGGCCAGTTCAAGTGGTGGGGGGCAGAGGGGCTAGCCTGATTCATCAGCCGGTTTCACTTCGTAGAAACTGTCTGACCTCACAGTGTTAGGATTCGTTCTGTTTACTGTAGGCGGGTACTTTTTATCATTTAACCAATCGCTGCTATTTGGTTGTCACGTATGTAATGCGTCACTAACGGGGCTAACTGGTATATTAAGCTTTTCCCAAATCCCGTCGGAAGAAGGGCAATAACATCTTTCCCCTTGATGAAATTCACCAAACATTCTCTTCGTTCCGGCTTTAAATCCTCGATCTCGGGAATCATTGACAACACTGAATATATGGCTCTTTGCTGATTGGCTGCTACTTGAACTCAGACTTCCGGCGTTTTTGCAAACTGTCTAGTGTATTTTGATTCCTGACCTAGTAGCTGGAGAGAAATGAAATTGAGTGGAGGCACTAGTTGGCACCAGCCTGGCTACAGAGGGGCTGGGGGGCCGGTCAAAGGGGCCTGGAGGGCTGGAGTTGGCCCGCAAGCCTTAGTTTGATGACCCCTGTTTTAAAGTATCAGTGTTAATGTATTGTCCGGAAAAGGGAAAAGGAGGCAGATAACGTAAGATTGATTCTTCTTTCTGCTCCTTTTCATTCATTTCTTGTATGTTTGATGTTGTGAAACTGTTAATGTCTTTTTATACTTTATGCATGAAATAAATAAATACACATACAAAACTCCACAGACCTTCACCAGAATCATTTAGATCATGTCAGCCGTGGCATTGAACTCAAACATGTATGAATGAAACAAAACTCCTGGTATGTATATGTTATTTGCAGGAAGGAACAGCTTTATAACATGACATAAAGTTCACAAGAATCAATTTTGTGTCATGTAAGACCTTTTAAAAAATATAAAAACATAACCTTTGTGAAATGTAAGTTCAGTTTGTGGCCTTGTGGATACTTTTGAGTTATTATTGAGTTGCTGTGAGCACAATAAAATGATCTATACATTGAATGGCATGTCCCTGGGCGTTATAGATCTCCTCTTACAGTTTCTATAAATAAGCTGGTAAATCTCCCGTGGGCTTGTTGTGGCCTTGGTCAAAGTCCAGCAATGTACAGCTGGGTTACACTATTGACCAGTGTGAAAATCAGCTGCCGGATAATTGGACGCACACTTGAACTCCAGGCATAGTCGCACTGAGGCCAATGCGAACCACTGTGCAGTGACGTGGCGCTGGGGGTGTTCTACACGTGCCTCTGTGGTGGAATGTTCAGCAGTTACTATCGTGACAGAATGTACATAATGCAAACTGAGACAGAAAAGTTTTAAGGTGGTCTGAAAACTCAAGAAAAACTACAAAATGGATTTAAACAGCACATTTTCAGGAGCCTGTGATCAGTACGAGCGTTCATGGTTCTGTTTAGGAGTTTGATTTTCAACCAAAACATGAGTCTAACTGAAAAACTGACTGATGCTGACTGTAATTTTATTTGTGAAAGATTGTTGGTAGTTAGATGTGTCAGATTGTGTTCAAATAAAGCTCAGATTAAGTCTAACTTGAGTAACAGAGCTTCTAGCTTCCTGGATCTGATGAATTAGGATTCGTTCACTTGACAGTAGGTGGGTACTTTTTTAATTTAACCAATTGCTGCTTTTTGGTCGTGATGTATGTAATGCACCAAATCCCGTAGGAAGAAGGGCAATAACGTCTTTCGCCTTGATAAAATTCATAAAACATTCTCTTTGTTCAGGCTTTAAATCCTCGGTCTCGGGAATCGTTGCCAACACAGAATGTATGACTTTGTTTACATCCATCTCGACCGCTTTGTTTACTGTTGTGTTGTACCGCGAAAGGGACCCAGATAGATGCTTGAGTTTGACGTCATGGCTTCATAGCTCTTCGCTGATTGGCCGGTGCGCGGTCTACAATTTCCGGGGTTTTTGCGAACCTTCTAGTGTATTCTGATTCCTGACCTAGTCACTGGAGAGAAATTAAGTTGAGCGGAGGCACTAAGTGGTCAAAATATCAATATATTATGATACAAAATTTGGTGATACGGTATCATTATCGTGGGCAACTGTGTCGATATATCACCAGCAGAATTTTTTGATATCTTTTTAACAATTTCTTTTGTGGCTGCACTACACATTTCTGTTGCTTATTTCATGGAAGGAAACTTGTTTATGTAATACACTTGACATATTTGCTGTTTTGATGATTAAAATACATGTATTCCATATTGACTTTGCACAGATAGTGGTTTAACAGAATAATATTGTTGCTAAAATGTATTTGGTTCTTAAAAAACAGCATTATATCACAGATTATCATGTACAATATATCGATTATCACATGCATCACCATATTGTGATAATATCATGAGCCATGTATCAAGTATCGTATCAAATTGTAATTCCCAGCTCTACTTCTGACAGAGTAGTGCTTTCAGTTAGCATCACACCCCCATTGAATGCTGCAAAGTATCAAAAACATTTACTATCCAAGTCCTATCTGTGTCTTTTATTTATTTGATTTAACTTTTTTATTTATGATTTTATAGTTTTGCATTTATTTGATTTTCTGCTGGTTTTATTGTTGTAGAACTGGTATGATCAAATTTGTAGCAATTATACATTTTGTTGTCTTCATTTTATGATCTTAGTGCAGCGCTTTGGAAACTACTTTGTGCTATATAAATAAAGTGGATTTGGACTATGAGATCTTATTACAAAAAACAATATACTTATTATAATGCATTGTCTCTTTCTGACCTTCTGACCGTCTCGTCTCTTTTCTGACAGAGGGTGAACCCATCGAGGCCATTGCCAAGTTTGACTACGTGGGACGCTCGTCTCGGGAGCTGTCCTTTAAGAAGGGAGCGTCTCTTCTGCTGTATCAGCGGGCGTCTGAGGACTGGTGGGAGGGGCGCCACAATGGCATCGACGGCCTGGTGCCTCATCAGTACATCGTCGTACAAGATATGTGAGTATGCAGTGCTCAGTTATCTCTGTACTACTACATTACTATAGGATGTCTATTTTCTACTGATGCTAGAGTTCACCATTTTATTTTTATGATACTCACTATATCACTAGATCATGATATATCTCCCACGATTCAATATATCACAATATATCGCGATACTAAAACACAGGACCAGAGGGATGGGACAAGATCTGGAGTTGGAGCGTCAGAGGGAACAGAGATGCAGGTCCAGTTTTAGTTCAGTCATGTTAATAATACAAATGAAGTGTAATAAACATATTTCATATTGAGTAAAGTTGTCCCTCGCCGTCTCGCTCTTTCGCAGATTTTTTTAGTGCAATTTTTTTTTTTTTACAGCATATGAGCATGTATTGTATTCCTCCCCCTGCGTCAGGATTGACTAAGGGACTGTAGACCATTGTCAGTCAATCTCCTCCGTGCCGTGTCTCCTGTCTACTACAGAATGCGTTCAGTTTGCCAAATTTACATAAATGTTCGATCGCTAGCTGTGTGATTCTGAAGTGCAGCGCGATCGGGCAATTACCGCGCTAACCGTGAGGTGCGGAGCTCTCCGTCTGTCCTTTCTCCTCCTTTCTCTCCTCCGAGCCTGTCCCGATCGTGAGTTCAGTTCTGGTTTAGTCCTGGTTTACTCTTGTTTGAGTCCTGTTTTAGTCCTAGTTCAGTCCTGGTTTAGTCCTCGTCTTCAGTCTTGGAATCAGTCCTAGGTTAGTCCTGGGTTAGTCCTGGTTTAGTCTTGGTTCAGTCTGTGGCGTAGGCAGCGCAAAACTTTGATATAATCTTGGGTTAACGGGCGGGAGCAGGCAGGTGCGGGCAGGTACAGTGTTGTAATGCGCGGGTCTCCAAAACTGGAGCCATGCAGGACTCTGTGCTGTAGGTACCATTACGGAATAAATGAATCTTCATTTCGTACGAAAATAGCACAAGGACGACAGCAGCAATAAGTTTTAAGAAGGATACAAAAAGGACTGTAACTGTCCTGTGTAAGAAAAGTGTATAAAGTGTGTGGTGAGGTTTTTTACAGCCTTCAAACAGATATAATAATTGTAAAATATAAAGTAGACAACTGTGGATTTCACCTATCGCGGGTTATTTTTAGAACATAACTCCCGAAGTGACCACTGTATATCGTAACAACCAGTATGTTGTGTATTCAGATTTACACTGTAGAACTGCTGTTTAAAGCATGAAGATTGTTTAATGCATTTAGGTTATTAAAAATGTGTCATGAAAATAGCTTGACATTGTTATGAAAAATGACCAAATTAACACGTAAAAAAACAAAACACAATTTAATTAAAAATTATGGATTTATCCGATTATTGTAAATTATTTCAAAACCTCATCTTGTCTCGATCGTGTGGATCCGATTTCATGTCTCGTCTCGTGAAAATTCTGTCTCGTCCCAACCTTACAGGACGATTATTGTGAATTATCAATAATTACGTATAATATTATGGTTTAGTACACCTTCATGAGAACAAAATTGGATGAAATACAATTAGTTTATTATTTAAAACACAAGAACAGTAAATGGAACTTCTGAAACATGACTTTAAAAAATCATTTCAGATGCATTTTGAATCGATACCAGAATTGTGCAATGAAGTATCGAGATATATCACTGAATCATTTTTTTTCTTACACTTCTAATAAACAGAAAAAGAACAGTATCCCAACAAATGCATTTTAATTAATAAGCATTGTTGTTCATCAAAGTCTAACTGTTTTAAAATTCTGCATAATCCTAGAATTAATCTTTGTAAATCTGACCCTGTCAAAACCACGGAAACTGCATCACCATACTCTGATTTTCCCATTGCTAAAGTATAATTATATGTTCATTCTCCTCGAAAATATTTTAGGATGAGTGTTTGTCTTGTTTTAAATTCAAGTTAGAAGCTGCTTCGTGCACAGAGCTCGTATGCAGACTGAATACTAAAGAGCTCAGGTCACCTCTACCGACTGCAACTCTTCTTCTGTGTACAGACTTTTAAGTTGGAGTGAAGTAATACTGTTAATAATGATAGAAAATGCCTTGTTTGCTTGAGTGTACACTGCTGCTGCGTCTTGGCCAGGAAAAAGGCTGTTAATCTCAATGGGTTTAAACTGTATTAAATAAAGGTCAAATACAAATATAATAATTAGGGATGTAATAATAATGGAAATATCGTGATATCGTATCGTCAAAGTTCTCACAAAAATATCTTGGGCTATCACAGTATATCGAATTACAAGTCTCTTGGCTTAAATTAAGAGTTATGGTGCAGCAATAGCTAAAAAAAAAGACAAAGGGAACTACATAGACCATGATCCTTTGCTCCATTTCAGTGCAGACTACAAGAAGAAATAACAGTTCTAAGTTAGTTAGTTCTTTGGATTAAGTTTTGTCAATGCATTTTAAGAAGAAAAAATAGCATATCAGCCTCCATTGTAATATCGTACCGTGAGATGTATATCTTGACAATTTCATACTGAGAGATTTGGATATTGTTGCATCCCTAATCGTGAGCCTCCCCACCATATCATGAGCTTTCCCACGATATCGCAATAAATATTGTACAGTGAGTTTCATACCGTGACGATATCGTAACGTGAGACTTGGATATCGTTACACCCCTAGTATTAAATAAAGGTCAGATACAAATTTAAGTAATATATAAATATGAACAAAAAACATTTCCATTTCATGTTTTGAGGAATGATCGGCGCCACCTAGTGCCTCTGCTCAATTTCATTTCCCTCCAGCGACTAGGTCAGGAATCAAAATACAATAGGCGGTTCGCAAAAACCCCGGAAGTGCAATTTCGGGCACCAGCCAACCAGCGAAGAGCCATATATTCAGTGTTGTCAACGATTCCCGAGATCGAGGATTTAAAGCTGGAATAAAGAAAATGTTTGGTGAATTTTATCAAGGGGAAAGACGTTATTGTCCTTCTTCCTACGGGATTTGGGAAAACCTTAATATACCAGTTAGCCCCGTTAGCGGTGCATTACATACGTCACGACCAAATAGCAGCGATTGGTTAAATGATTAAAAGTATCTGCCTGCCGTCGAGCGAACGAAACCTAAGGCTGTGAGGTTAAACAAAATGGATTGGGTTTAAGTCGTGTTATAATGTTGTTTCTTCATCAAAAAACATACCTGGAGTTGTCTTCTGTTTCATTCACATGTTTGCGTAGTCTTACATTATTAGTCTGTCTACATTTCCAAAGCTCACAATGCTCTGTTCCACCTTGTGATGTCATGAAGATGTAGTTTTCAAGTTAACAGCTACATTTATACCTTTTGTTTAGTAAAGATCGACAATTCCAGAGCTGAAATCATCCAAGTGACTCTGGTGAAGGTGCATGGAGTTTAAAACACAGTGAAGCACTTCCAGTATTACCACATGACATCACAAGGTGGAACCTCTGTTTTCTATTTGGGAGAAGAACTTTTATGTTAAACATGTGTGAATGAAACAAAACACATCTCATCTGTTTGTGATGAGGAAACAACATTAAAAAATAGATGAGAAAATATCTTCATCTGGTCCATTTAATGAAAAACACTGATAATGTAGCTTTACCCATTACCCACTGTCTCGTAGTCCATCTCCAGGGTCCTTAACCAGCTTCCTGTCACAGTCTCTGGCCCTCAGCCCTAACAAGCACAGCACTGACTGTTGCTGCTTAATGGGCTGGATTTACTGTCTCGTTAGAACAGGAAAAGAATGACTCCAATCACTTAAGAGCTGGCCTGACAAAATGGTCATTTAGAATGGCTTTCTGCGTTGCTCTTCCCTTTCCTCCTGCCTCTGTCCGATCGCCGCCTCTCCATCAATAATTCACCAGAGGGATCTCCGCTGATGGGGCGTCGTCTTTGCTAATGAAATATAGTGGTAGGATTTACAGCTGTAGCCGGCGCCCCTCTGCGCTCGGTGACATCCTGCTCTCTGCGTAAAACGAGAGGGCCAAGGTCTAAAGGAGCAGACGGGAGGTGACAGGCGTAAGCAGGAGCAGAAAATAATCTTCTATTTACAGACATTACACTTTTTAAAGGTCGTGTATTATGTGAATTTGACTCTTGTGAGCTTTAAGTCATGTTAGAATGGTGTTACCGCCTCAAAAACAGACCTGGAGTTGTGTTTTGTTTCAATCACACATATCTGAGTAAACCTGCATTATTAGTCCGTTTACATCTCAAAATGCTCTGGTCCACCTTGTGATGTCATGTAGTGGTAATTTTAAGGCTGTGCAATTAATTGAAATTTCAAACGATCTCTGAACTCATATAATCGAGTTGAAACGATTTACGCGCAACAACCATAATTTTGCGAGGTCTTGGTGCCCTACATACTGTGCCTTATTGAGTAATGGGAGCTACAGTATTGATTATATCCATAAACTCATGGATGAACGTATCGCAGCAGGACTCACATCTGTCTCACTATTTAATAGATATTTCTGCCGCTGGACTTATTTTCTCCGCTAAAGCGTTAGCTTTGCTGTGCCACATGTAAACAAACATCGTCGTGTGCTGACGTCATCGGCTGTGGCCCGGTTTGGTTTTGTGCAGGTTTGAGTGCAGAACATTAGCTTGATTCATCAGCCGGTTTCACTTAGTGGAAACCGACTGACCTCTCAGCATTAGGATTCGTTCGCTCGATGGCAGGCGGGTACTTTTTTTATTTAACCAATCGCTGCTATTTGGTCGTGACGTGTGCATCGGTAACGGGGCTAACTGGTATATTAAGCTTTTCCTAAATCCCGTAGGAAGAAGGACAATAACGTCTTTCCCCTTGATAAAATTCACCAAACATTCTCTTTGTTCCGACTTTAAATCCTCGATCTCGGGAATTCGTTGACAACACAGAATGTATGTCTCTTTGCTGATTGGCTGGTGCCCGGACTCGCACTTCCTGGATTCTTGCAAACCGTCTACTGTATTTGAATTCCTGTCCTAGTCCTGTCCTAGAGAAATGAAATTGAGCAGAGGCACTAAGTGGCGTCGGCCTGGCTAGCGGAACACAGAACCCACAGCAGTCGTGCTTGAGCATGGCACAGTTCTAAACCCCTAGTGTGCTTGCGCTAAATCTTAATAAAGTTTATTTTGGTTTATTTTTTATATAAATATATATATGTATTTATTTTTTTTAAATATAGAGATTGTAGAACAGCTGGATATATATAGTTTATTTCATGTTCAAAGTATATTTTATTCATTTTATGTTTTATACATCGCAAAGCCGCTCTAAGGTTCATATTTGTTGCCTATATTTATTTTCAATTTGAAAGCTATGCATAAATTATCAAGTGATTTTTTTTTTTTTTTTTTTTTTTTTTTGAGTGAAATGCTGAATAAATGCATCATGTAACTAGAAAATAATAATTTGAATAATCATGATTTCAGTATTGACCAAAATAATCATGATGATTTTTTCCTTAATCGGCAGCTCTAGGTATTTTGCAAGTTAACAGCGACCTTTTACCTTTAGTTCTGTAGAGCGCTCTGTGACATCCTGCTCTCTGTGTAAACTGAGAGGACCGAGGTCTGGAGAAGCAGGCAGGACCAGACAGGACCAGACAGGGACAAGACAGGGTTATTTCAAGTTTATGGGACAATTCGCACACAAAGTAACTGAAAGTGCTTTACAGAATAAGAATGACATTAAAATCACAATACAAACAAATCAAAACATAAATAATCATCATAAAATTAACATTAAAAGAGAAGATGGGAGCAGGGTCTTCTTTAAATGCCATAAAAGAGTCCAGGATAAAACACAGAGGCTACTTGAGCACAGGAAGTCTGCTCTCAGGGTTTGGACACTCGACCCTGCTGTGGTTCGTTAAGTGCTGGTCCCTGCACTGTGGCTCTGTGAGTTTAGTCAGCACATTTACATGTTTGCATTGTAATGTTCTTTCATTGGTTTAAAGACGATCGCGCCATATACTAAAGACTACACTACATCATATCAGAGAGAGCCTTTTGAGTTTCATGCAAGCTGGTTCCAGTTGTAGGATCTGGCAACCCAAAGTGAACACTGCAACAAAGCTTGGCCAAAATATAGATAGGTAAGATATTTTCTGATACATTTAAGTGTTTATAACTTAAAAGTAGTGAAATGATCTGTCCATGCAGCAAGATAATTTAACTTGACAGTTTTTCTTAAAATAAACTACCTTTAGACCAGTGGCCCCCAACCTTTTTTGCACCACAGACTGGTTTTATATCTGATAATATTTCGTAGACCGGAGGGGGTTGGGGGTGCCCAGGGGGTAGTTTTAGACCTGTTTTAGACCTGGTTTAGTCCTGGTTTAGACTCCTGGTTTAGACTCCTGGTTTTCCTGGTTTAGACTCCTCCTGGTTTAGACTCCTGGTTTAGACTCCTGGTTTAGACTCCTGGTTTAGACTCCTGGTTTAGTCCTGGTTTAGACCTGGTTTAGACTCCTGGTTTAGACTCCTGGTTTAGACTCCTGGTTTAGACTCCTGGTTTACCTGGTTTAGACTCCTGGTTTAGTCCTGTTTAGTCCTGGTTTAGTCCTGGTTTAGACTCCTGGTTTAGTCCTGGTTTAGACCTGGTTTAGACCTGGTTTAGTCCTGGTTTAGTCCTGGTTTAGACCTGGTTTAGGCCTGGTTTAGACCTGGTTTAGACCTGACTAGAATGAAGTCGTCTCAGAACTAGTAAGTAGATAATAAATTTGAAAACAGGATGAATAACCTGATATAAGTTTTAAAATCTTGGCCAGATCAGAGAAATTTGCAGTGAAGAGCTTGTTCTTTTTTCTGACTGGATAATCTGATTAAGAAACACACATGTAAACCTTGACAACTTTTATTTCATATACATATACATACATAATTATATTTAAGACAGTGCAAAATGGGGGTGTAACATATCCAAGTCTCACGACACGATATTGTCACAGTATGAACCTCACAGTAAAATATTTATTGCGATATCGTGGGAAAGCTCACGATATGATGGGGAGGCTCAAGATTAGGAATGTAACAATATCCAAATCTCTCTGTACGATATTTTCACGATATACATCTCACGGTACGATATTTATTGCGATATTTTGTGGAGACAAACAAAACTGTGAATATGCTACTTTTTCCTCTTAAAATGCCTTGACAAGACTTAATCCAAAGAACTAAGACTTAAAAGTATTTAGAACTGTTTCTTCTTGTAGTCTGCACTGAAATGGAGCAAAGGATCATGGTCTATGTAGTTCCCCCTGTCTTTTTTAAACTATTGCTGCACCATAACTCTTAATTTAAACAAAGAGACTTGTAATTCAATATATTGTGATGGTCCACGATATTATTGTGAGAACTTTGACGATACACTATCACGATATCATGAGATCATGATACAATATCGTATCGTGAGACTTGGATATCGTTACACCCCTGTTAAATGACCTTAAAAACTCTTTCTCATGTGTGAATACCAGAGTCAGTTATTACTGTATGTCCTTAAAATAATATCCATTGTTTTTTTTTAACCATGAGACAAAACGCTGACATTAGAGGAAATGGATATCAGACACAGTAAAAGCGAAAGCACACTGAAAAAAAGTACTGCAAACTAAATGAAACTGACTCAGATCATGATAAAACTTCCTTAATTCAAATGAAAGGTGCCTTGTTTCATTTTTCTGGTGAAGGGTGCGTCAAATGCTTTTGTCTGTGGAGATGTTATTGCTTTGTCTAGAATGTTTCACAGTATGGTATTCAACTTTTTTTATTTTATTAAACTAAATCTTCATGAAGACCAAACCAGACCAAGTTACAGGTCAGGTCTGCGGAGAGGCAACCCCGCTCACAGTCAGAATGTCAGATTTTTTTGGTATTTTTGAGCTATAAAACCACTTGTAATTGAATAAATGTAAGGTAGGGCTGTTTAATGCCATAATGTGGAACATTCCAGGCAGAGCAATGACATACACTGCAAAAAATAATATCCAGGTATGTTAAAATGACTTAAAGTAAAACCATTTTACTTTATTTGAGTAGATTCAACTTGACAAGTAAAATGATCCACCAATGGAATAAGTGTGTTTCTGTTAATTCCAGCAACATTAGATTTAGTTTCGTATTTTAAGTTCAAAAAGTTGTTGTTTTTCTCATTTTAGTGCAAAGAGTCTTTTTTTTTTTTTTTTTTTTAAGTGCAGAGTCATTGTTTCTCTTATTTTAAGTGTAGCCAGATGTATTTTTATATTTTAATTACAAAAAAGTCTTGTTCCATTGGTAGATAATTTTATTTGTCAAGTGAAATTTACTCAAATCATGATAAAACTTTCTTAATTCAAGTCATCTTAATTTGATTAGATTTATTTTTTGCAATGTATCCATAGAAACAGCAGGAGACAGACCCCCAACAGAAAAGTTACACAGTGCACCTTTAACTTTCTGCAGCGCACGTATAAAACTGACCATTGTGCTGATTCTTCTGTCTCTTTTCTTGTCTCTTCTGTCTCTTCTTCGGCTTCACTCTCACTGTCCAGAGATGACAGCTTCTCGGACACCCTGAGTCAGAAGGCGGACAGCGAGGCGAGCAGTGGTCACGCCGCAGACGAGAAATGCTCAGGAAAAGACATCAACTCGCCCACGGATACACGCATCTCCGAGACCTATATCAGCAGGTTGGGCTCCACTCCGTTGGTCTAATGATGCACCTTTAAAGAACCTATATTGCTCTATTTTGTGATCTGTTATAATGTTGTTTCCTTATCAAAAACATACTCGGAGTTGTGTTTTGTTTCATTCGCACATGTTTAACACACAAATCTTGCATATTTACTCTGGGTTCTTCTCTCTTACTCAGTACAAATGTCAGGAACGTGCGTTACAATGCTTTTTTAACCTGGATTGAAGTGGTGGGTTTTTCGTTTTTCTTCATACAAATCGCTAAAATCACAGCGGCAATGAAATGACATTGTTATGGTTCCGAATATCAGGACAGGCCGAGAGGTGCGCCTATGTAACCTGTCAGGGAACCTGGTTTAGACATGGTTTAGTCCTGGTTTAGTCCTGTTTAATCCTGGTTTAGACCTGGTTTAGGCCTGGTTCGGTCCTCCTGGTTCAGTTCTGGTTCAGTCCTGGTTCAGTCCTCTTGGTTCAATCCTGGTAGTCCTGGTTTAGTCCTAGTTTAGACCTGGTTCAGTCCTCCTGGTCCAGTTCTCGGTTCAGTCCTGGTTCAGTCCTGGTTTAGTCCTTGTTTACACATGGTTTAATCCTGGTTTAGTCCTGGTTCAGTTCTCGGTTCAGTCCTGGTTCTGTCCTGGTTTAGTCCTGGTTTAGTCTTGGTTTAGTCCTGGTTTAGTCTTGGTTTAGTCTTGGTTTAGTCCTGGTTTAGTCCTGGTTTTCCTGGTTTAGTCTCGATTTAGACCTGGTTTAGTCCTGGTTTAGTCCTGGTTTGGTTAGTCTGGTTTAGTCCTGGTTTAGTCCTGGTTCAGGTTTGGTTCAGCTCTGGTTTAGCCTTGGTTTAGCCTTGGTTTAGCCTTGGTTTAGCCCTGGTTTAGACCTGGTTTAGTCCTGGTTTAGTCTGGTTTAGTTCTGGTTTAGTTCTGGTTTAATTCTGGTTTAATTCTAGTTCAGTCCTGGTTTAGTCCTTGGTTCAAACCCGGTTTAGACCTGGTTCAGTTCTGGTTTAGACCTGATTTAGTCCTGGTTTAGTCCTGGTTTAGAGATAACAACATTATAACATTACTAATTACTACTAGTCAATTTTGTGTATATGGACCCTTAAAATGCAGATTTGTGACGTAATAAAGTGAATTCCGTGTTTTCCAGATTCCAAGAAATTATCAGGAATGAACATTTGTGAATTTGCTTTTTAGATTAAAAGGAAACTGCAGTAAAGTCAGTGGAGAAAACTGTCTCTTGCCCCCATCTGGGAGTATGACCTCATCACGTCTAGAATCTGAAAAGCACCAATATTCGGTTTACAGAAAGTGTTTTTATTGTAGAGAGTCTGTGTGGTTGAGTCGTGCTTTGCCGTGTAACGCTCGGGTCCGTCTGACACACACTGGGAGAGCGGCGGCTTCCTCTGCAAAGCGTGTGTATTAAACAGCCATTGTAGCAGTGCTTAGTCATCAGCAGGTCACATGGGAACACGCACAAGGACACACACAGAGAGAGAGACGCACACACAGAGACCAGACACACACGGAGACACACAAACACACACAGAGACACACACAGAGACCAGACACACACGGAGACACACAAACACACACAGAGACAGATGCACTCAGAGACACACAGACGGAGACAGACAAACACAGAGACACACACAGAGACGAGACACACAGAGAGACATGCACAAACACGCACGAACACACACACAGACAGGACCACACACACACACACACACATAGAACCAGACACACACACAGACACACACACAGAACCAGACACACAGACAAACACATACACAGACAGGACCAGACACACACACACAGAGACACACACACAGAGACACACAGATGGAACCAGACACACACAGGGACACACAGACGGAGCCAGACACACACACAGGACCAGACACACACAGAGACACACACACACACACACACAGACAGGACCAGACACACACACACACACAGACAAACACATACACAGACAGGACCTGACACACACACACACAGAGACACACACAGACACACACAGATGGAACCAGACACACACATAGGACCAGACACACACAGGACCAGACACACACACACAGAGACACACACTCATAGGACCAGACACATAAAGAGACATACACAGAGACACAGAGAGACACACACACAGGACCAGACACATACAAAGACACACAGACGAAACCAGACACACACACACAGACACACACAGAGACAGACACACACAGAGACAGACACACACAGAGACAGACACACACAGCACCAGACACACACACAAAGACGCATGCAGAAACACAGAGACAGACACACACACACACACACACAGGGACAGACACACACAGAGACAGACACACACAGAGACACACACACACAGAGACAGACACACACAGAGACAGACACACACAGAGACAGACACACACAGACAGACACAGACACACACAGAGACACACAGACACACACACAGAGACAGACACACACAGTGAGACACACACACACACACAGAGGACAGACACACACAGAGGACCAGACACACACAGACTGAACCAGACATGCATAGAGACACACAGAGTAACAGGCGCACATACACACAGAGAGACACACACACTAAGACAGACACACACACTGAGGCAGACACACACAGAGACACACACACAGAACCAGACACACACACACAAAGACACATACAGGACTAAAACAGGGCTAAAACAAGGACGCCACAGCTTCCGGTCCTCGAAATATTGTCGGACATAAAACCAGTTTGTGGAGCTAAAAATGTTGAGGACCATTAATTTAAACCACCAAAGCGTCCAAACACAATGAAAACAGTTTATACTTAAAAGTGACACTGCCATCTTGGATTCTATCTCAAACTTTACACAAACTTTACTCGGTCTCCTCTGAGTTCTTCCGAGTTCCGAGTTGTGCCATCCGAGGAAAAGGGGCGTGTCAGTGACCTCCAAGTCGAAAGGATAATTGAACGCACTATTATTACGGGGTACAAAGTATGCGGACCAACAATCTCTTTAATTATGATGAATCAATATGTGCTCCAGCTCCTGAACTTGGATTAAACAGATGCAGAATATCTCCAATGCATCTTAATGAAGGTCTTATATTCACTGAAGCTGTTGACATCGGTGTTACCTGTCAGCAGCTTTCAGGTGAAGCCCCGCCCCCTCTCCCGTCCCACAGTCTACACTCTCTCACGCCATCGTTGAATCATTCATGTCCTGGTTTAGTTCTGTTTTTTTTTTTTCTTCTTCTTCTTGTAGTGCTCGCTCACCAGAAGCAAATGTTCTTCAAAGATCAGACCATCCCATACGATTGCTCCTCAGATGTGCTGTGCTCATTAAGATGTGGATTGATCAGAGTTAAAAGGCCCATCTTATGCTTATCTTCTGATCTGTGTTATAATGTTCTTCTCTCAGACTGAAAACACTCCACACTCCACACGTTCCACCTTGTTATGTCATTTGGTAATACAGGAAGTGCTCTACTGTGTTTTTAAACTACATACACCTTCACTAGAATCATTTGGATGATTTCAGCCATGGACTTCCCAATCTCTATTGAAAAGGGAGCTTTTAACATGAAAACTAACACCTCATGACATCACAAGGTAGACCAGAGCATTTTGAGCTTTGGAGAAGTAGACAGACTAATAAAGGTTTACTCAAACGTGATAATGAACACAACTCCAGGTCTGTGTTTGATGAGGTAACAACATAATAACACAACATTGTAACACGGCTGACAAGAGTCAGTTTTGTGAAATATAGAACCTTTTGATTGTACTTTTTATACATTTTTATATTTGTAGGAATGTATTTTTTATTTTAAATTCAGAAAAAATCAATAAAAGGTTAACTCTGGCAGTATATGATGTTATTGCAGTATGAAGTGCCTGTTGGCCCCAGAGGAGTGTGGTTTTGTGTATGTAAACTGCTCCCTCTGCTGGAGGATTTCTGTTGTTGCAAGCATTTCTTAAAAAGTAAATTGTGAAGTAGTCGGTGCATAGATCTCATATCATGGGCCAGATGTAAACGCAGTTTCAAAACATCACTGACAAAACAAGTTGCCCCAATAATAAGTTTGCATTTATGTTTAGCTTAATTAATTTCAAAATGTTTGATTTGAAACTTGAAAGATATTTATTCATATATCCATAGCAAAAAAAAGTGAAGTTTTAGTAGTTGAAGCAGCGAAATGTCTTTACTCTAAAACTCTGACAGAATAAAATTTTTCTTTTCCTATACTTATTCCTCATCTAGCTTCTCCTCCCACTTTGCATATACTGTGTGTTAAACTGCTTTGCTTTATTTCCAGAGGACATGACAAGTTAATTTGAAATGTTCTTCTCTTCTTCTCTCAGCAGACACAGAAAGAGGTCTGACCCACCGTCTCGGCGGCCCCCTGCCCGCCCCACTGATGTCCTGTGTATGGTCCATCCGTCTCAGCAGGGACACGGGGGGCACGGTGGGCACGGTGGGCACGGCGGGCACGGCGGCTCTCCTGAAATGGGCTCCCCAGTCCTAGGCCACTTCAGCCCCCGCGACGTCCTGCGCAGTCGGAACCACCTCCCTGTGGACAGCCCCGAGCGCAGGCGGCGCACTGGGCACGGCAGCCTGACCAACATCAGCCGCCACGAGTCTCTAAAGAAGATGGAGAGCCCGCCCATCCGCCGCTCCACCTCCTCGGGCCAGTACACAGGCTTTTCAGAGCATCACCACGGGGGCAAAGGCCTGGACCCGGAGACCATCGCACAGGTCAGCGTGGGACGAGCGGCGCCACGAACGCAGCTCCCTCCACCATCAAAGCCCTGCCCCGCCCTGTAAAAACATAGTCAGTCCCTGTCTTCTGCTTCCTCTGGCTGCATCTGTGTCTGTGTGCAAATACACGCAAAGGACTAGCTTCACAGGCAGACCGCAGGGAGCATGGCACGACATTGGGACTTGAGGCTATCTCAGTGTATCTGACTGAGTGCTTATAATCTGTGCGAACACTTTCTTGTTAAGCACCTCATTTATTATTGATTAGTAATTTCTAGAGCAATCTCCTAATTCACCAAATTTCAGTGAAAAAGAGCACTTAAAACTGTGCCGGGCTGTCTGCCTGCCTATCAGGAGCATGCTGAGTTCTTTAATCTTTCATTACCTTTTTGTTCAAAGTCTACAAACTTATCACTGAATCATAAATCATTAGTCAGTCTAACTATTACTCTCAACCTTATGATTTATTGCATGATTGGTGAAATCTTGTCTCTAACTGATCTAGAAACTGCTAACTTGGCACGTTTCATTCTTTGCTCTTTGCATGATCTTTGTTTCAGGTCAAATCTTATTTTCTCATTAATTGCTCTCTCTTCCTTCCTCTCGCTCACTGTGTAGGACATAGAGGAAACCATGAACACTGCCCTGAACGAGCTGCGTGAGCTGGAGAGGCAGAGCTCAGCCAAACACGCCCCAGACGTGGTGCTGGACACTCTGGAGCAGAGGCAGAGCAGCGGGGGTCAGACCCACAGCTCCTCTGAGTCTCTGAGCCCCATCCACGGAGTCCACCTGAGGCCCACTGCCCACACGGAGCCCCCCGCCCGCCGTAGCACCAGCTCCTCCAGCGACGCCATGAGCACCTTCAAACCCGCCGTCACCCCGCGCATGGGGGTCCAGCTCAAACCCCCCGCGCTCAGACCCAAGCCCCTGGTCATGCCCAAAACCGGTCAGCCTCCGCAGGGCCCCGCCACGCCCACTCAGGACCCACTGGACAAATCCTGCACCATGTAGCACCTACAGCTCCACCTGTAAAGTCGTACGCTTAGACAAAATACTAACACTCTAGAGTTGCATTGATACTTCGCAGTGATGTCACGCTGGGGGTGTTTTACATGTATGTCTGTGGAAGAATATTCATGGACACACAATGCACAAATTAGCAATAACTTCCAAAAAAGTTTTAAGATGGTTTGAAAAAAAAAAAACAATAAATGAATTTAAACAAAACATTTTCAGAAGCCTGTTCATGTAATTTTATGTAAGAAAGATCCACTCACCTGTTGCAGTTCAATCCGTGTATCATTTGTTTTTCAAAACAAAACCAAAAATAAGAAAACTAAAATTATTTGTCTCCAAAACCAAAATGAAAAAGACAGATAATGATTCATTTTTTCAGTTTTCAATTTTGTGTTTAAATTAATCATGGAAAAAAACAGATAATGGCCATTTCCTGTTTTTGTGACGTTAACTGTGATGCTGGACTTTTGCGCCGCATACCGACTAAGCCAGGTCCGGGACTGAGGCCGGGACTGAGGCCGGGACTGAGGCCGGGACTGAGGCCGGGACTGAGGCCGGGACTGAGGCCGGGACTGAGGCCGGGACTGAGGCCGGGATCAGACTGAGACCAGGACTGATAAGAAAACGAAAAAACAACAATTTTCTTCATTATTTGACTCCAAAACCGAAATGAAAAAATGGATAATGAATTGTTTTTCAGTTTTTGATTTTGTGTTTGAGTAGTGGAAAAAGATTTTAGTCCTGGTTTAGTCCCGTTTTAGTGCTGATTCGGTCCTGATTCAGTCCGTATGCAGAAAGTCCGGCATCACAGTTTAAGTCACAGAAATGGCCGTTATCCGTTTTTTCCATTATTCATTTAAACACAAAATCAAAAACTGAAAAAACAAATCATCATCTGTTTTTTCATTTTGGTTTTGGAGACAAATAATGAAGAAAATAGTTTTTTCGTTTTCTTATTTTTAGTTTTTTATTAAAAAACAAATTAACAAATGATACACGGATTCAGTTCCAGCGTCTTTATGGTCAGACTGTGTTAAAACAAAACTCAGATTAAAGTCTAACTAAAGTCTCACAAAGCCTCAGACAGAGTAGTGCCTACAGTTAGCGTCACACCCCCAGGGAAAGTGGATGACACCAGCTGCAAAGTATCAATAGTAAAAGTACTTTAAGTCTGAGCCCCACTAAAGCTGACTGTGCAGGAACTGTGTGGGGCGTTCAAGGACAAACAGAGTAGAAAAATATCTGTTTGTTGACAATTCCTTCCCAGAAAATGTGCACACAGAGTTTAGTGTACTTACTTATAGTTATAGTTAGTTTGTGTTGGCGATTTTTCCTTTCTTGAAACAACAAATCACAAAGGCTTCCATTAGAGAGATAAATAAAACCTGACACTAAACACACTTACATGAATTGTTTACCTTTTAAACTAGAACAAGCTCACAGTAGTTTTAAACAAGCCATTGACTGAAAATATAAAATGTTACTAGTATTTAGGCCTGTCACGATAACAATTTTTGAAGTTTATTTAATCCCAATGTCTGTGCGTTAAAACTGCAAGTAGTCCCGGCAACAGCCAAATCACTGTTCAATATCACTGCTCTGAGGTAAAACGCTCAACTGCTATGGGTAGAATGTAGGGACTAGCTTCATTTAAAACATTGAAATAACTCATATTTTGGTCATTTACAAACAGGGAACAGGTTTTTCACATTTACAAGTGAGACATTTTCAGTTTGTAGTCATGTTATTAGCGCTTTAAACAACTTGGAGCCGTGCGTTCTGCAGTTTTAACGCACTTCGCAGACGAACATCTATGATTCCGCAGCATGCGATAAAACTGCATAAGTACGGCTCCTCGTTGTATACCGTATTTTTCAGATTATAAATTGCTCTGGAGTATAAATCGCACCAGCCAAAAAATGTGCAATGAGGAAGAAAAAAACTTATAAATCACGCTTTTTGGGGGAAATGTATTTTATAAAATCAGAGACCAGGAACTGACATTTTATCTTGAAAGGCAAGTTCTAGTAATAACAATAGAACAGAAAACAACAGACTTATGAACAGTTCTTCAGATAACTATAGTATAAACAAGAGAACAGAACAAGTTTACCAAACTCTCCATCTCACTCCAAATCACTAAATCCATTGAATTCTTCGTCCTCGGTGTCACTTCTGAGCAACTCCGTGACCTCGACTGACATGATACAGACAGGACAGTGGCTCTTTCTCTTTCTTCTGCAGCTGACATGCGCAGTAGAGTGAAGTGAAAGTGATACAGGAGTAACAGGAGCAGCAGATACTGACACACAAGACTAGAGCCTCTCACGGCTTCAGTGTGAACATTTTAACATATAAGTCACAGGAAACACCCAAACCATGAAAAAATGTGCGACTTATAGTCTGAAAAATACAATATGCTGCATTCTGTTGTGCTCAGGACTCGGGGAAAACCCACTAAACCATTTTTAAAGCTGCATTGCGCAACTTTGTCTCCATGCAAATGTTATTGTTTTGTCTAGAGAATGTTCCACGCAAGAGATTAACCCTGTCTGTCTCAACTACAGGTCAGATCTGTGGAGAGGCGACGTTGGTCTCAAAGAGAATTATTACATTTTTGAGCAATAGAAACACCCGTAATGAATAAATGCGAGATAGATGTGTTGAATGTCATACCGTGGAACATTGCAGGTTAAGCAATAACATCTCCATGGAGACAAGCAGATGACAGATCCTCCACCAGAAAAGTTGCGCAATGCAGCTTTAAATAGAACGTACCATTCAAAAGCCTGAGCTGCAACAAATAGTTAGAAAAAAATCTCCCTATTATTGCAAAGAAATTGTACAAACGATAAATACTGAACCGCAAAATATGAAAAATACAAAAGAAAAAACAACAAATCTTCCTATTATTGCAAATAAATGGTACAAACGTTGAATATTGAGCCCTAAAATATAAAAAATACAAAATAAAAAAAAAAAAAGTCTCCCAATTTTTGCAAAGAACATGTACACACAATAAATATTTAGCCCCAAAATATAAAAAAAATACAAAATAAAAAAACAAATCTCCCCATTATTGAAAATAAATTGTACACATGGTAAATACTGAGCTCCAAAATATAAAAAAAATACGAAATAAAAAAAAATGTCTCTATTATTGCAAAGAAATTGTACAAACGATAAATACTGAGCCTTAAAATATTAAAAAGTATAATAAAAAAATACAAAAATAGCCAAAATCTCGCCATTATTGCAAATAAAATGTACACATGATAAATATTAAACTCCAAAATCCCTAGTTCCATTGTTGTTTCATATATTAAACGCTAAGTGGATTAAAAAATTATCGTGACAGGCCTAGTATTACACAGGTGCTGTAACTCAATGGATGTAAACAATTGAACTCATAATTTAAGGTACTTTGTTTATACGTTTGTGGTACTGATAAACCAAACTTTTGTATTCACTTGTACACATACCATCTTTTCCGTAATCGTGCAAATGTACAGAAATAACTATATAAACTAAAATAAATAGCGTTTTAAATATTATTGCCTGGAATGGAGTATAACTAATGGGTAAAACCACTCTAAGAACTTTACATTTGTGTATTTTCTTTACATTTTCTGTCTTTGAATAGTTACAGATAATGCAAAATATTATTAAAGCTGTATAATGCGTATCAGTGTAAAAGGAAATATGATGAAACTGCAATATAGTATAAAGTATTACGAAATGATATGTACTTTTTCTGCCTTGCTTGGCTTTACCCACCCAAAGAGTAAAACTGTACAAGCGTCATGTGTATAGATTGAAGGCATTCTGTAGTGGGAGTGCCAGTAGCCATGGACCTGATGACTGTTAGTGTAAAAACCTGCGAATACCATAGTCTGTTTTCTCTCTTAGCATTGCTCTGTCCGCTGTTACAATATATATATAGACCCTTTAAAAAAACGTGTAAACAAAAATATTCCAAGTTTCAGAATGGAGGCAATAGGCTCTATACAGGGAAGACATTTGGAAAGATGCGATGAAAACGTCCGGTGTAGTTCCTTACACTTCAGACTGCAGCCTGAAGTGACCCAAACCCGATTTTTTGGCCCCTATGTGACCTGTATCTGATCTTTTAATGACAGTCTGAATGACACAGATCCAATTTTTTCAAATGCGACCCAGGACAGTTGGATATGTGGTCAATACATATCCGATCTTTGACATGCGACTTCAGTCTGAACGGCCAAGGCGCATTCATCCAACCTAAATGTTATCAACAAGCCACAAACATCACTATTCTGCGCTGAAGTAGGTGGAAATTGTTAATGAACTCCGTGTCACTGAAGTGAAGCACATCGCTATCTCACCCCTCTTGGCTACATCTCCGCATCCACACGTTCCTTTCAACGGACTGTCCCACAAAACCATGGCCAAAAACCTTGTTCTTCTTCTTCTCAATCTCCTCCTTAAAACAAGTAAGTTGTTCATGTTCTGGCTGCGGTACGAGAGGAACTTTAAAATTTCCAGGTGCTCAATGCTCGCGTCCATGTTTGGACGACTTCTGTAAACACAGAGCACGCTCGCTGCGGTTGACGTCGTCGTGTCTCCAGTGCGCATGCGGGACAATTTTGGGCCGTTTAATGTTCACAAAGGAGATCACATACTAGTCACATTTAATTGGAAATGTGAACAACCTCTCAAAAACATCGGATTTCACATAAAAATCTGAATTGAGCGTTAAGCCCTGCAGTCTGAACGTAGCCTTAGTTTCACTTCGTAGAAACCGACTGACCTCGCAGCATTAGGATTCGTTCACTCGAATCCTAAAGGATTTAGTCGCTGCAAAGAAATGAAATTGAGCGGAGGCACTAGGTGGTGCCAGCCTGGCTACCCAACACTGAGCTTGCCGACTTACTGAAGTAAATGTGATTAGCGGTAAAATGAAGACTGCATATGTTTGTGTTGTTTGGAATCATCTTGAATTTGGTGCCTCATCTCTTCTAATCACATGTACCCAGTCCACTCAGAATTGTGTGTCAGTGGGTAAATGATGAAAACTGAGGTATGGTTGGAACTGTTGATTCACCGAATATAACAGAACGGTACAATGTACACTACCGGTCAAAAGTTTTAGAACGCCACACTTTTTCCAGTTTTTTACTGTTTACAGTCGACCAAAACATATTGTAAACTTTTGATTCATGAAATTGCCCACCTTTGGCAGATTTAACAGCTGAACACACTCGTGACTCGTTCTTTTTACAATAGAAATCAAATATTCTTCAGAATGTTCTTCCCAAGTCTGTTGCAGAAGTTTCCATAAATGTGTGGAACTTGTAGGTTGCTTCACTCTTCTGTTCAGTTATTCCCAAACCAGCTCGATGGGGTTTAATTCTGGAGACTGTGCTGGACACTTCATGTTTTCAAACTTTACCATCTTGTTCTTTTTTCCTGAGGTATTTTTGGCAGAGCTTGGACTTGTGTTTTGTATCTTTTATCTTTTTTTTTTTTTTTTTAACCTCTGTCTGTTCAGTTCTTACCTTTGTACCATTTCAAGCTCTTCATTGGACTTGCATGACTTGAACTGCAGTAAATAACTGGAAAAATTAGGATGTTCTAAAACTTTTGACCGGTAGTGCAGATGAAGAAAACTGGGCCATTTTCTCATTTTTCCTAGATTTTGTCAGACTTACACTACAAATGCCGGAAGTTGTAATCGCATGTTTTCAAACGTCTTCCTGGTTTGTGACGTAAGCGTGAATAGAGTCTATCGGAGGCAAAAGCGAAGTGAAAACATAGGCCGTGTAAAGATGTGGAATAAGGGAGTGTGACATCGCCCACAGTGTTCGGCTTCAGTCAAATGAAGCTCATCGAGACTAGGCCAGCAGTTATAGGAGCGAATTTATCTGTCAATACCGTAGTGCTGCTTCCTGCATTTTTTTTGGCTCGTTTAAAGAGACTGTACTGAAGACTGTGTAAAGAAGTGGACTAAGGGAGTGTGACGTCACCCATAGCGTTCAGCTCCAGTCAAATGAAGCTCATTGAGACTGGCAGTTAAGGGATGAGTTTGGAGTTCCGTAGTAGGAACTGGAATTGATTTACGGACAAAATGGAGAAATAAAAAAAAAACAGGATCATGTAAAGCGGGTTAAAACGAGCATTTTAAGACCAAAATGAGGAAAGTGAGCAGCAATTACAGAGAGAGGGCGATGTTTTTTTCAGTACAAAATTAACTTGAGCCATAGTGGATGGAGCTGGAAGTGTGCCCATGCTCACTTCTTCTTCAGCTATGTCCATTTATATATAAAGTTATGAGTGGAACATAATGTGATTAACTTCAGAATATCACTAAATATGAAGAAAATTTGGCAAATGAAAACCATGCAGACATTTCAGAGCCTGGACATTTACTTACGTTATGTTTACTTAAAAAGAGATTATGAGACGCTAAACATTTTTGAAAAAAAAAAAAAGAAAAGTTGAGTGCATTTCCAACATTGTAACTTCCCACTTCTTTTTCATATGTCAGTCTTTCACAGTGTGGTTCCATTTGATATATAAAGTTGCAGTTGAATAAACGTAAGGTTAGAGCTGTTTAAAGTCACACTGTGGAACATTCCAGGCAGCGCAATGACATATCCAAAGAAACAAGCATGTGACGGACTCCCAAACAAAAACATACAGCTTTAAAATTGAGTTAATCATTGAAAATATATTAAGCCTGCTTCATTTTGCCTCCAGTCGCCTCCTTTATAGAATTTTAAACATTGACATCACGACACAGGATTTTAAAGGGTCTATCCATGGCTTAGTTTTCTAAAGCTTCTGCAAGAGCCTCATCAAACAATACGTGCCACAATTTCAGATGTCTGACTGTGACTCTTGTAATGTCAAATAGCAAGTGTTTGTATAGAACATTTCACAGGTGGTTTCCAAGTTTACACCATCACTGACTTGACAATGTGTGAATAAACGATTTCAGAATACTAACTTGTATTATTTTTATAATCCTGAGAATTTTTTTTTCTTTGTCAGTGTAGAAAAATGTAGAAATATTACCCAACAGTTGTAAATAGTGTGCTCTTGTCACATGTAACATCACCAAAAGTTGGACTCTTGGCGCCTGTAGGCAATAAGCTACTCTGTGGTGTTCTGTACTTGTGAAAGTGCCTTTAAAAAGATAGAGGAACTGTACTGTCAGATGCTGTGTCTATAGAGAAAATATAAAGCAAAGTTATAATACCATTCTACAGCTGACTCATCGTGACATTGCACTTTTCTGTAAATATCTGTATATATGGCATGTAACATCATGTAGAGACCTTTCGGGACCTGTAGCTCAAATGATGTCTTTCTAATAAAGGAGATAGTTTGTTGAATTGTTGAATGCTTTTTCATTTATTGCAAATACAACCACAACCTTCATTTGGTTATACATATTTTTTTTTATCTGTTATGTTGTTTCCTCATCTAAAATATACCTGGAGTTGTGTTTTGTTTTATTCACAAGTTAATTAAAAGTGAAAAAATGCATAGCACACTCAGATGTCCTAAAGCTTTTTTTATTTTTAAATAATGTTTCGGCAAAAAAAGCCTCCTTCAGATAATTTTTCTTGCTTTGGACCTCTACAAGACCTTTAGTGTGTGTTTTCTGTTTTATTTTATTCATAAGTTGAACCACAAATCCTGCATATTTAGGCTGAGTTCTTCTCTCAAATGGAAAACATTTTGTTCCACCTTGTGATGTCATGTGTGTTTTTAAACTCACTACACATTCACTAGAATCATTTGGATGATTTCACCTTTGGAATAGCCCAATCTGTACTAAACAAAAGGAAAAAGGAGCTGTTAACTTAAATGCAAACAGAAATGGCAACCTTGTCCCCCATCAGTTCATCATCACAGAAGCAGCTCATGAGGAGAACAGCCCATATTACATGATCGTTATATCCACAATGCAATGTGTGTATCTGTACAGGCCCATGAACATTTGTGTGATATTGGTCACACGTGAGAATGTTTGTGTTTACTAGCGTGTAACAAAAATGTAAGATGGTTCAGAAATTGCCAAATTGCCTTTCCTTTATAGTGGCGTGACCTTTCAATTGACCCATGTGACCTCAAATGACCTCAGAACGTCACCAAACTTTTTTTTTTTTTTTTGCGGCATTGGGCACAGGGGCTTGACCCACGTACCAAATTTGGTGACAATTGGTCCATAAATGGTGGAATTATCGTGGGTGGGCAGACACACAGACACACAGACACACAGGGTGAAGACAAAACCTGGTCAACCCTTCGGGAACCAGGTAAAAATACCACTATATGACATCGCATCACTAGGTGGAACAGCATTTTGAGCTTTGCAGATGTAGACAGACTGATAATAAAAGATTACTTAAATGTGTGAATGAAACAAAACACAAGTCTAGCTATGTTTTTGAGGAGGTAACAAACTTCTTTCATGGGTTAAAGCTCATAAGAGTCTATTTTGCGTAATATAGGACCTTAAATTGAACCTCTACAACCTTAATTACATTTTAAAAAATGCCAAACATTCACGTATTTTACTCTCAGCTCTCACTACAAACCACAAATCACTGTTTTCCTTTTTAAATGTGTACAAATTACCCACAAAAGTGAGTCTGTGTGCATTCAGACATTGAAATATTTATTCACTGTAATCTCATGTTCTGTTATGTCTGGAAGTTTTACAGAGAACCGGTGTCCTCCGCTCCACGCTCTGGTCTCTGCGCTGTTCACCGGGGTAAAAGTGGCTCTTTGTTTCATCCATGACTTCCTGTAGCTTTTCAAGGCCATCTGAAACACGCCGACAGATTCAGTTACACACCACAATAACAAGACGGAAAAACTATGTGAGAGTGATGAGACAGGCCTACCTCAGCAACCCCAGCTTTCCGCTCCCATGTGAGGACGGTGTGTTGGAGTTTCCTGTGTTTTTCCTTTATCAGCATGTACTCATTGCTATCAGGGGCCTTGTAGTCTGCGATCTGGCTCTGCAGGTGCTCATTAAGAAGTTGTGCTTTTAAATTTTCTTCTTCCGCGTGACGTATAGTCTCCTCCAGTCTCGCCACTTTCTGCTCCTTCTCTGTGATCTCTCTGTGCAGATTTGATAATTCACTCGTGGCCATTTGCAGTTTGTACTGTTTGGAAATATTCGTATTAGTGATGTGAACGAGGCGGCTCTTTTAAACAGTTCCTTAAAAGTGCGCAATGTAACTTTTCTGGAGATATGCTAGAGATATGCTTACAATACCTTGGAAAATATGCATTCTAGTCCAATGAGATTCATTTGGTCTTCCGATACTTTATGTTATTAGGTTCTTTTTTGCAGTTTAGTTTCATACCTGACAGTTTCGACTGCTCACTAGTGGTCTTCCTCAGAGTCACATGATGTTGCTGTGACGTGTCCAATCAGCTGATTTAAACAGGTTTTGGCGCTGCCTTCCTACCGGTGGAGGCAGGAAGACAGCGCCATCTGCAGTCCGACTTCCTCAGGACAGTATCCCAGGTGTGTGACAGTAAAAAAGCCCCCTCATCCCGGTTTATTGTCCTGTGGGCATGTTTCCGTATTTTGATTGCTTCTTTAATCCAGCGGCGATGTTTGTTTTCCTCCGTCCCAATGATATTTGCTCACTGTTTCCTTCTCGCATTCTGTTCTATGTGTCTTTTTTCGTGTACTGAACGCCCTCCCTGTTTCCCCGATGTATGTTTTATTGCAGGACATGCAGGGTATTTCGTATATTACATTACATTTATGCTCCGGTTCTATTTTGTCTTTCGGGTGGACGAGTAGTTGTCTGAGTTTTCTGTACGGTTTCACTGGTGTGTTGATATTGCGTTTTTTCATCGCCCTTCTGCACTTTTTCTGTTATGCCCCTAATGTAAGGTATTGTAACAATGTCTATGCTCCTTTTTTTTTCTGTTTTGTTTTTGTTTCTCTGGTTCTGTTTTTCTTTCCCTTTGTTTATTGCCCATTTTGGTTATTGGCATTGCCTTAGCGCATTGTGAATGTGTCTATCTTCTTCCTGTTTGTCTTGTTCATCTGTTATAATGTTGGTTCTGTCATACAATGTTCTTACAATGGAGAGTTTGTTCAAAAACCTGTTTAAATCAGCTGACCAGACACGTCACAGCAATATCACGTGACCACTCTGAGGAAGACCGCTAGTGAGCAGTCGAAACTGTCAGGTATGAAACTAAACTCTACGTTTGCAAAAAAGAACCTAATAACATAAATATGCATTCTACTGAAAGTGGGCCTGCCTTTCAAAAAATTTGGACCTGTAAATTGGCATGGTGCTTGTTTGGAAATAGAAATTGACAACTTTAATATCGTACTGTGAAAATTTCCAGGCATAGCAACAACATCTCCTTGTTACACCGCTCACCTTTAACATGAATGGTTGGAACCGGATCTAATCTTTTAAAATAAACAATAAATACTTTTTCTTTCAAATTTGTATGCATTTGTACTGATTATGTCTGGACCAACACAAGAATTAGCACAAAAGCAAAGTGGGCAACACAAGTGAGAATTTTGTGAACAAAAAACGGATCTGGCATATTAATAACAGTTCGTTTTTAAATAATTATTGTAGTCTAATGTTTTATTTAGATGAGGCATAATTCCTAAAGAGTAAACACAGTCCCACTCTCAGTTTGAAACATAAACAAATCTGAGCATTGGACAATTTCTCTGTGACTAGTTTGTTGTTAAAATTAGTTCTCACGTTAGTTTCTGTCATAAATAAATAGTAATTGAACGGCTCTTTAAAATGAACTGATCCAAAAGAGCCAGATCCTATAAAAGAGCTGAAAGTCCCATCACTAATTAGCCTGTTGTTAATAGTTTGGGTTTATTCTTCTGCAAAGGAGAAAACCAGGGATGATCTGACCTTGTAAGAATTAAGTATGTGCTGTGTTTTTATATTGTTGACACGAACTTCATCCAGATTGAGGTCATGGTGCTCCTCATTAAAGTCTTGAAAAAACTCCTGAAAGAAACATTGAAATAAATCAACCACTGCTATTATAATTAGTGCTGTCATGTGATTTAAAAAAATTGAGAGATTAATTAATTACAGATTACAGATTAATTAATCTAATTAATCTAATTTTAATCTCACCTAAAAATTGCTGAGAAAAGCCTTCAATTTGAGGTATTTTCATTTAAATTCATTATTACATTATTGTGGCAGATCAAAAGACCTGATATAGAACAAAAAAAGTGACTTTATAAAGTCATTTATTGTTTAACAAATCTCTCCAAATTGGCTGTTGAGCCCAAGTCTCCATGAATAAGAAACTGTTTGCTGTAAAGTAGCAAAGACGAGGAAATCTGAACATAATAACTTTTGTCTACTTAAAGACAATAAAAAGTCCAGTCTTTCCTTAACCATATTAAAAATATTATTGATAGAGAAATGCTTTATATATTAAATCACTGGTTTTAGTCCTTGTTTTAGTCCTGGTTTAGACCTGCTTTAGTCCTACTTTAGTCCTAGTTTAGTCCTGGAATAGATTAATCCTGGTTTTAGTCCTGGTGTTAGTTCTGGTTTAGTCCTGGTTTAGACCTGGTTTAGTCCTGGTTTAGTCCTGGTTTAGACCTGGTTTAGTCCTGGTTTAGTCCTGGTTTAGTTCTGGTTTAGACCTGGTTTAGACCTGGTTTAGACCTGGTTTTAGTTCTGGTTTTAGTTCTGGTTTTAGTTCTGGTTTAGTCCTGGTTTAGACCTGGTTTAGACCTGGTTTTAGTTCTGGTTTTAGTCCTGGTTTAGTCCTGCACTGGATTAGTCCTGGTTTTAGTCTTGGTGTTAGTTCTGGATTAGAGGCTCCCAGGAGGAAGCGCGGTTTACGCCGCGTACGCGAGAAAACGCGATCCACACGCGGCTCACGGGAGCACGTCGGTGTCCGCGCAGTAACTACGGAAGGAAACATGGTCCGCGCGTTCTCAGGTTAATGACGATGATGAAGGTGTGTGTTTGTGTGTGTGTGTGTGTGTGTTTGTGTGTTTTGTGTGTTTGTGTGTTTGTGTGTGTTGTGTGTGTGTGTGTGTGTGTGTGTTTGTGTGTGTTTGTGTGTTTGTGTGTGTGTGTGTGTGTGTGTGTGTGTGTGTGTGTGTGTGTGTGTGTGTTTGTGTGTGTTGTGTGTGTGTTTGTGTTGTGTGTGTTTGTGTTTTGTGTGTGTGTGTGTGTGTATAGGACAGTAGTGCAGACATCATGAGTCTATGCAGGTTGTTTTCACCAGTGACATTTAAGTTGTAGGCGATTTTATATTTGTTATTTTCTTTTATATTTCACGTCGGGAGAATAATTTCCAAGACACAAATGTGTTTTTACCTGTGCACTGCTGCCTCTGTTCTACTGGCTCTTCAACCTCGTCCATTGTGCGACTGACGCCGCCAACGTTAACATGACGTTTACATCGCTCTTACTGCGCGCGTTTTGTGTGGGTTTCTGGCAATGAGTGGAATTACCGAAATAAAAAAATGTATAAATGTGTTTTTTTTGTGTGTGTGTGTGTTGTTGTCCCAACAACACATAAAAACAGGTTTTATAATAAAGCAACTCGCATACAGAAACACTAAAGTTAGAGATAAAAAATGAGATTAACGCGATTAAAAAACATAACGCGCTAAATATGACTGTAATTAATTAATCGCAATTAACGCGATAATTTGACACTCCTAATTATAATCATAGACTACTCTTGTGTTTAAAGTTCTTTTACTGGTTTTTAAATGTCTTAATGGTCTTGGGCCTTCTTATCTTTCAGAACTGCTTTTACCCTATGAACCCTCGCGGACCCTGCGCTCCTCTGGTAGCAGCTCCTGGTCATTCCCAAGTCAGTACCCACACTCACGGAGAGGCGTCTTTCCTCTATTATGGCCCTCGTCTATGGAACTGCCTGCCGGAGGAGCTCAGGGCTGCAGAGAACGTTCATGTTTTTAAGAGCAGGCTCAAGACCCACCTTTTTAGCTTAGCTTTTGTGCTCTTATACTTCTACTTGTTTCTATTGTACACATTTTATTATATTTATTTATTTTAGGCATATTTTTAGGATTTCCAGGGTTTCCTCTGTAGGAGCCTCTGCATCAGGAGCGGAGGTCGACTGAGGTTGAAAAACAGAGAATAGCACTTTTTCATTTGTGGAAGATGTCGTCAAATAATCACCATGACATTCCACTTTTGCCAATCACTTTCAGCGCCGAGAGTCATCCCCGATTGATAATGTGTAGAACTCAATTCAGAGTGACAAAAAGATCAATCTGGCGTGAGCAAGGGTAACTTAAAGGTGCATTTTGTAACTTTTTCTGGAAGATAGTACACTAAATGCATTCTACTGGGTCTATGGAGCCAGTAGAATGTTCCAGAGTAGACTTTCAACCAAGTAAGTGATCAGGTCTGTGTTTTTCAAGATTTCAAGGGATTAATTAAATAAAATAGATGGATGTGTTTGATGCCATACTGTGGAATATTCAAGACAACACAACAACAATTTCATGGAGACGAACTCGGCATCACCAGAAAAGTTACACAGTTTAGATTAAATTTTAACAGCTACATTAATATAAAATGCAAATACATAATTACAATTCCAGTTGTCATACCTCATAGTCAGCCTTCCCCAGGTCTTTCCTCTGTTGGAGCTGCTGCTGGAGCTTCTTCTCCTTCACTCGCATGGCCTGGGTCTTCAGACTGCACTTCTCCATCTGGTTCAGCTGTTTGGATAAAAATGATTTATATTACATAAAATTAACTGTTGTGAGCTTTAAGACATGTTATAATGTTGTTACCTCATCAAAAACAAACCTGGAGTTGTGTTTTGTTCATTCACACGTCTGAGTAATCATTTATAGTTAGTCTGGATACAAATCAAAAGCTCAAAATGCACTGTTCCACCTTGTGATGTCATGTACTGAAATTATTTTAGCATTTAAAAAGACAGGGGGGCACTTTCTACCACATGACATCACAAGGTGGGACAGAATGTTTTGAGTTTGAGTGAAGAACTCAGCCTAAACATGCAGGTGAGTGTGTTAAACATGTGAATGAAACAAAACACAACTCCAGGTGTGTTTGTGATGAGGAAACAACATCAGAACATAGATCATAGACGAGCTCTTTAAGATATTGTTTGGATTTTGTCACGATTTGCATCTAGGTCTGCAATACACAGTTTCTGCCACATGAGAGAGCTAGTGAGTCAGTGAATCCTATCTGTCTGCCCTGAACGAGTGTTTCTGCAGCTGAAGTTAAGAAATGCTTGCTTGGTTGTCCAAAAACAAGAGTGATAAATTAGCGAAGGTCAGTGCACTTCAGAATAATTATGACTCCTTTTTATTGCTGGTTCAATTATCATCATCATCAATTATGATTTATGAATAATGTCTGTTGACTTGGGTTGCGAAGGTTTGTGACTTTTAAAATATGGGGAAGTTTGGGAAACACCAAGACATAACTGCATCCAGTCTCATTTATTGTGTATGGTTTAAAGGTGCCCTATACAAGTTTTCTGGCTGTTATTACTTTGCCTATAATGTTACACAATATGGCATTACTCGTACTTTTCTTCCAAGTAGCTAGATATGTTTAACGCCATACTCTGGAACATTTGAGTCAAAGCAACAGCAGCTCAAGACATTTACCTTAAATGTGCACTTTGTAACTTTTTAGTTGGGGTAGGGTGACCATATTTCCGTTTGTGAAAACCCGGACACTTTACCGGGGGTGGGAGGTGGGGCCTTGACATTGAGCTACTCTCACATGGCCTCCCACTTGTCCTGACCGGAACGGAAAACAGAGAATTTCTTGTACAAGTCATCGTTAAATACACATTTGCACTTCGAGATGTTGCAGACTGACCAGCTGTTTGTGTCTGCTCGCTCCTTCTGAGTGCAGAGAACTACGAGAGACACTCAATTTAATGAACGGTAATGAAAACTCGGACACTTCCATCACTTAAAAAAAAAATTAAAAAATGGACGCCCAGGACAGGACGCAAAAAACTGACATGTCCGGGGAAAAACAGACATTTGGTCATCCTAGGTTGGGGGTCTGTCATCTGCTGGAATGTTCCACAGTATGACATTAAACAGTTCTACCTTACATTTATGCAATTACAAGTAGTTTTATAGCTCAAAAATACCTAAAAAAAAAAAACCCTGTAACTTGGTCTGGTTTGATTGCCATGATGATCGAAAGGTTTTGACAAATCCTTCACCAGAAAAGTTACACAATGCACCTTTAAGAAGTAAAAAACCCATGTATTGTGTGTAATTTTACCTTGGACTTGTCTGTGATGTAGCGCAGCACCTTTTCCGGCTTGTATATATCCAGCCTCTTTTCCTTCAGAGGTTTGAGAAGCCTGCGTTCAAAATCGGCCTTCTCCTTCCTGATGTCCTCCAAACGGATTTCAGCCTCTTTCATCGAATCCTAAAAAAAACCCCCACAAATTACAACTGCTCTTCCCTCAAATATAAACCACAGTACACATTTGTTCGCGCTGTCTTACCCGGAAGTGGTCGTGTATTTTTTCATACTTGTGTCTCATCTTCTCTTGCTCGTTTTGTGCTTCCATAACTTCACTTTGTGCCACGTAACATTTTTGCGGTAAAGTCAGCTGCAGCTCAGGTTGTGATTTCTGTCTCCACCTGTGCCCCTGATGGTGTAACACAAATGAAATGGCAACACTTTTAGCGATAATAAAGCATGAACAGAGGCTTAGAGGTGCGTAAAACAGTAAACAGTAAAACAGTTTTTTGGCTTTTCTGGAGATGTTTTTTGCTTTCCCTGGAATCAGTGGCAGAGTTAGAAATTTGCGGGCCCTGGGTGAACCTGACTCTGAGGCCCTCACTATAATGCACCATTTTTTTGTTTTGTTTGTTTGTTTTGTAATATATTTATTGTCTGTTTATCCCCATTGGTTTTTTTACAGTGCACAATTTTTATCTTTGGACCCAGTCGCAACTTTTATTGGATGTGCATGTCTCTATCTACCATTACCAAACAAATATATGTAAACTTAGACATAGATAAACTTTATTGATCCACAAGGGAAATTATTTGGACACAGTAGCTCAGTCATCATAATATAATATAATAACAAAGAGAAAAAATTTAAATGGTAATAATAAATTCAAAATAAGCAGAAAAAATAGCAAGAGGCTTGTGTCAAATAAGGCATAAATATTATAGACATGCAATAAAAAAATAAATAAATAAATATCGTAAATACTGTATATTTCGGCTATATACAAGAAGTTATAAGGAGAAACAGTGCAGAGATTAAATAGTGATTGGCAGGACATAGGGTTATTTATTAGTAGGGACAGGACACAACTTCTACGAGACGAGACATGTCACGAGATCCATCCACAAGAACGTTTTTCATTTAATTTTATAGTTTTGCTGTCATTGTAGCACTGCTTTTTGGTATAACAGCTTCTTAAGAGGAGTAACTCAGCAAAATGACCCTCTTTTTTATCCAAGGTAAGTGTACAAAAAAAAATAAAATCTGAGGAAAAAAATGTCAATGCAATTTGGAGATCTTGTCCTAACCCCATCTATTAGTAAAATGATTATTGTAAAACATATTCTTTTATTACTGGGTTTCAGATGATATCACAACATTACACACAATACTATTTAATACCAATGTTGGGAAGGTGACTTTTAAAATGTATTCCCCCACAGATTATAGATTACGTACCCCAAAATGTAGTTTGTAACATAATCCATTAAGTTACTTAAGGTGAGTAACATAATCTGAATACTTTGGATTACTTGATTTGCTGTAGAGAAGCGAAGACGAGGAAATCTTCACTTAAGATGTTTTTTCTGCTAAAAGAAAATAAAAAGCCCAGACTTTATTTAACCGTATTAAAAATATTGTTGATAGAAGAAGAAGAGGAGACACGTTAAATCCTGTTTTAGTCCTGTTTTAGACCTCTTTTAGACCTCTTTTAGACCTGGTTTAGACCTGATTTAGATCTATCTTAGATCTAGTTTAGACCTGGTTTTAGTCCTGGTTTAGACCTGGTTTGGACCTGGTTCAGATCTAGTTTAGATCTAGTTTACCCCTGGTTTTAGTCCTGGTTTTAGTCCTGGTTTTAGTCCTGGTTTAGTCCTGGATTTAGACCTGGTTTAGATCTAGTTTAGATCTAGTTTACCCCTGGTTTTAGTCCCGGTTTTAGTTCTGGTTTAGTCCTGGTTTAGTTTCCCAACATGTGAAAACAGGAAAATACAAAATACCACCATGCAATCCATTTATTTCAACAAAGTAACTGTAATCCAATTACCACTCACTGAAACAGTAACTGTAACTGAATACAGTTACTCATAATTTGTACTCTGATTACGTAACTCCGGTACATGTAATCTGTTACTCCCCAACACTGTTTAATACAGATGGGAACAGTTCACATTAATATTGTGGAATGCAGATTTTTGTTGTAATACAGTGAGATTTTGGGTCTAATCACTAATAAAAATTATCCGGTTCAATATTTGTAAATTTACCTTTTGGATATTTCATGGCAAAGTACAATGTAAACAATGGGAAAATCTGTCTCTTGCCCCCGTCTGGGAGTATGGCATCATCAGATTCTAGGATGTAAAACCACACGTAACTTACCCCGCGCTTTGTTTTCTGCTCCTCGGCTGAGAGCAGCTCGTGAGGATCTAAGCGGCTGATGAACTGCTCGTACATGCCGTTCTCTGCCAGCAGGGCGGCGTTCAGTCTCCTGGGAAACAAACAAGACTCATTTTGGTACTGCAATCATATTTGTACACACTTGGACTACACATTTCACTACAACACACTTGAGATCATTACATTTAAGATTTTATTTTCCCAATTTGGCCATGCTTTAGGTTTTTGTAGCTGTTACAACCATACAGTATACTGGGCCAAAACTCCTCTGATGTACACAAAAATTAATCACTGATGAATAAAAATATAAGAAAACACCTTTATTTTGTTGAAATAAAGTTTAAAAGAATCAGAAAAATAGGTTTCTTACATCTAAATTGTTCTCTCTAGTGCAATGCCATCAATATGGAACTCTCTACTTCTCACTTGGTAAAAAAACAAAACAAACAAACTATAATTTATGTTTACAACAAGTATTATTATAATTAATTAAATGAGAGTATATGTTTGCTCTGCTTGTGTATAAATCTGTCCATGGCCAAGCACCAAAGTCCATCTGTGACATGTTAGAGCCATATGAACCATCTTGCACTCTGAGGAGCTCAGGGACTGGCCTCCTGCTGTAGTCCTGGTTTAGTTCTGGTTTAGACCCGGCCTCTTAGTTACGACTAAACACGGAGTCAGAGTTTCAGATTCATACAGCTAAAACCTGGAACAGTCTGAACATGTGAGACTGACTCTACTTTGACTCTGTTTAGCTGCATTTGACTGAGAGGTTTTCATTTTGCACTCTCCTCTCATTTAATGTCTCTGTCTCTTTTTAATGTTATGATTATTTATGTTTTGATTTGTTTTTATTGTGATTTTTAATGTATTTCTTATTCTGTAAAGCACTTTTGAATGACTTTGTGTACAAATTGTGCTATACAAATAAACTTGCCTTACCTCAATAATACTGGAAATAAAAACATAAATATGAATTTAAACCATAGACTGTATAAAGAACATATAGGCCTACAAAACTTTGGAGGACAGGAGTGCTACTTGGATATACAGAAATAGTACAGAATTGTCCTTTTGGTGCTCTTCAGTGTAGGGACCAGTCTCAAATACAAAGGTGAAAAAACTGAGGCACTCATAAAGTACAAAATACTTATAAACCTTTAATACCACATGGCAGATAAAGTTAAAATCACGCCAACGTGTTTCGGCCCTTCAGCTTCATCAGGGCAAAGTCAAGATGGTCACAGTGCAGTTTTAAAGTCATAGGTGTAGGTCACATGTTCACAGTGGGCTGGCCCACAGTCCCCTGGTGCATGATGGGACATGTAGGCTCAACAGATTTTAGTTACAAGCTATTTAAGATAAGATATAATCAGTGTTGGGAAGGTTACTTTTAAAATGTATTCCCCTACAGATTACAGATTACAGACCCCAAAATGTAGTTTGTAGACCTGGTTTTAGTCCTGGTTTAGTCCTGGTTTTAGACCTGGTTTTAGTCCTGGTTTAGTCCTGGTTTAGACCTGGTTTAGATCTAGTTTGACCTGGCTTTAGACCTGGTTTTAGTCCTGGTTTAGTAATCGTTTAGTCCTGGTTTAGACCTGGTTTAGTGTCCGGAAATGAGTGGAATTATGAAAAAAAAAAAGTAAAAACAGGAAAATACCACCGTGTAATCCATTTATTTCAACAAAGTAACTGTAATCCAATTACCACTCACTGAAACAGTAACTGTAACCTAAATACAGTTACTCATAATTTGTACTCTGATTACGTAACTCCGGTACATGTAATCTGTTACTCCCCAACACTGGATATAATACAAAATATATAAATAACAGATCCCAACAACCAGTATATAGAAAGCTACATAGTATAAATGAATATTTCTGTTGACAGTAACCCAGAGCCTACGCAAATATAACTCAACACTAATGCATTGTTTTCTTCGTTCTTAAATGTAACTAGTTAAACATAAAAACATAAAACATGAAAATAAATAAAATAATAATTAAAATGTTACGTTAGTTCTTCTACTTGGATGTGCAGTGCCTCTTGTTCTTCTTTGGTAACATTTTTATCTTTAGTCTGTTTTGCTCCAGTTTTTATCAAATGAACGCTGTCCGCCATCTTGGTTGCTATGGTAAACTGAAGCTTGTTGCTAGGGACGGGAGCGCCGCCTCTGGTCGGTGCCGTCGGTGCAGTTTAGTGATTTTTTCTTGCGTCAACCATCAAAACAGAGATTTCTTGATATGAAAATCTACAACCTACGCCCATATGATGTTTTTATCACCATTTAGGTCACTGTGTGTTGTAGATTATTTTGTATGACTTCCTGGAGCGCGTGCCAGCTATTTGCCTCTTCTGTGCGCGTGCCTCTTATTGGAAGAGAACGCACAGTTTCATTTCTGTGTCAAGGAAAGTTGACTGTGCGGTTTTTGAGGAGAGGATTTATCGCATTTATGGCTAAGCTGGTTTATAAGTGTATCCTGCGTGTCCTGTGCGATAATCAGGGCAGCTTGGACTTCCGGCGCTTAAATGACCAGATTACGGAACTTTTTAGGGATGCGGCATTACTGCGCACCATTCTGTTTGACGAGGAGAAGATAGCCATACAAGAGGGTAAAGAGAAGGCCAGCGGTGCAGAAGTCATCAGACCTGACAGTATCATCGTGGCAAAAACCAGTGTGCGTCTGTGTACGTCCAAAACGTGCCAAGGATGCGACAAGTTACACCTGTGCAGATATTACGTGTGTGGAGGATGCCGTTTCAGGTAAGATTTTCTTTTTTTTTCTTCTTCAAATACTATACTGGGGCTTGACAGGTTTATTGCGAAGATAAAGATAATGTGAGAGGCTTTTATTGTTTATTTTTGTATGACGTTCTATTTATGATACTTTGATGTGATGTGATTTCGCTTTTGATTATGTACGGTGGCTGCTCTTACGCACTGATTTCTATGACCTTTACAAGTGTAAGAGACCTGTTTAACAGCGCACAAATCATGTCACCTGTTGTAGCTCAGATGAAAGGTCCTATGTTACACAAAATTGACTCTAATGAGCTTTAAGCCATCCTTAAAAAAAAGTGGACATACCGGCTTGTTTGTGGTCATACCAGCATGTTGAAACCTGATCCTGTCTGAGCTCAGAAGTTCAGCAAAGCCGGGCCTGGTTAGTACTTGGATGGGAGACCACTGGGAAAATCAGGTGCCGCAGTCGGGTGTCGTTGTGTCCTTAGGCAAAACACTTCACTCATATTGATGAAAGTGGTGTGTGAGTGAGTGATGGTGATGGTCAGGGAGTCTGATGGCACAGATTGACAGCCTTGCATCAGTCAGTGTGCCCCAGGACAGCTCTGACTACAACAGTAGTTTACCACCACTGAGTGTAAATGAATAAAGATCTATAAAGCGTCTTGTTTTGTTTCATTTACACGTTTGAGTAATCATAAATATTAGTCTGTCTACATCTCCAAAGCTCAAAATGCTCTGCTCCACCTTGTGATGTCATGAAGGGTCATGGCACCACAAGGAATGTTGATGACATGCAAAGTATCAAGGAAGGCACCAGTGAACAGGGACACACCTTTCTGTAAAATCATTACACTGTGTGGTTCAGTGGCTACAGTTTCTGTTTTGTTTTCAGAGACAAATGTAAAAACTCCCACAGTGTGATGTCGCTGCACAATGTCCAGGTCTTGAGGAAGTGTGACCTTCAGGATCTCACAGAAAAGCAACTGTTCCAACTGTTACTGCAGAATGACCCCTTTCTGCTTCCAGAGGTCAGTTACATTAAGAATAATGTGGAACGTAATGAAGAAAAAGTAATAAGGTACTGTACTTAAGTATAAATTTTAGGTATCTGTACTTTACTGAAGTGCATTTTAAAGTGGATACTTTTTACTTCAATACATTTGAGAGCGGGTATCTGTACTTTCTACTCCACTACATGTTTGAACAGGACTGAACAGTAAAAGTATTATTATTGCTTGAGACCAAAGGCTGAGAATTTATTTTTAACTTAATTTAAATTATACAAATAAAAACAGCTGGGGGAATAAAAACCTATTCATTTGTTTCTCTTGAACCAAATTCAGCACAAATATTTAACAAAATCAGTACATTTGGTCATATGGAAGCCCATTTCTGCCAGTAAATAAAATATAAAAGCCTCACAGGAAGTCATAATTATGAGTTTTAAAGTAATAATTACAAGTTAATTAACAAGCAAATGGAGCTACAGAGTCATAATTTAAAAGTAATAATTACAACTCCTAATTATGACTTTAAAACTCCTATTTATGACTTCCGGTGAGGCTTTTATTTTTTATTTATTGGGCTTCCATAGATTAGATGTCAAAATATGAGCAAAATATGTTTACTTTTAATTCTTTAGTACATTATTAATCAGGTAGTTTAATACTTTTACTTTTATGTGAACTTTTTTTTTTTGCTCTGGTAGCTGTACTTTTACTTGAGTAACAAAATTTTGTACATCTTCCACTGCTCTAAATATTCATACCATCTCCATCCCTCAGATCTGTTCCCACTACAACAAAGGAGATGGCGAGAGCGGCTCCTGCAAATACAATACGACCTGCACCAAGCTTCACATGTGTCAACACTTCTTAAAAGGTGACTGTAATTTTGGCTCATCGTGTAAAAGAAACCACTCCATCGACGCTCAGGGGATGAAGCTGTTCCAACAGTACAGTCCGGAGAATATTAAAGGCCTCTACAAAATCTACAGAAACAAACTCATCATCCAGGACCAAAGGCCACGGCCAGATCCTGGTAACGATCACTTATTTTAAAGCTCACAAGAGTGAATATGTGTAATATATCATCTTTAATATATGATGTTGATGGACATAAGACTTGTTTCATTGTCTCCCTCCAAAACAGTTCCTTCTTCGTCCAAACAAACCAGCAAACCTCCGTCTCCAATCAATGCGGACCGCAATGAGATCTGCTGGTTTTTTATCTGCGAAAACTGCAAATATAAAGGTAGACTTTTTACATCTACATGGTATCATATAAAATACTTTATGAGAGAGAGAGCATCTTTATGTTTTGTTTTTCAGATAGGTGTGTAAATGTAAGGTAAAGCTGTGTAATGTCATACTGTGGAACATTCTATACACAGCAATGGCATCTCCATAGAAACAAGAAGGAGACGGATCCCCAAACATAAAGTTACACAGTGCACCTTTCTTCATGAAATTCTGAAAGAGCATTTGTTTTTCAAAATACAAATTAATCAAACTTGAGCTCGATGATTACAAGTGGAAAAAATAGGATTAATTTTTCAGGATTCCCACAGTCAGAGTCATGTCCAGTGAACTGAAAATGTCATGGTCTTTTGTAAATTCAATGAAAGTTTTGGAAAAGTAATGGAATTAAGTTCTCATTAGTCCATTATGATTATTTCCGAACGTCTGCGCCTTTTGTTTAAAAGAGACGACAATAAATGCACTGACAGTATTTTGAATGTTAAAAAACTATAAAACCAAAGCATAAGGTGAGTGGAAAGGGTTAACATTTCATATTTAGCCCTAAAAGTCTGATCAATTCTACACATGCAGGTGCTGTAAAGTTATGGAAAATTAACTTTAGGTCATGAAAAAGTCATGGAAAAGTTTAGAAATTTTGTCAGTGAAAAAAAGTGGGAACTCAGATGTTTACTGTGGGCTGTTCTGAGTGTTTCTTTATGTTTTCTTTTGTTTTGTTTTTTCAGAGAGGTGTGTGCGCGTTCACTGGCACCTGCCTTACAAATGGGAGATGTGGGAAGGAGAAAGCATGACCTGGAAAAACCTGGATAACATGGAGGACATTGAAAAGGCCTTTTGTAATCCATCCTCTGAGTAAGTGAGATCAGTTCTTGTTTATAGGTATGCAAAATGTAACACATACACAGCATTCAGATTGAACAAAAAGACAAAGACTCTGAGTGATATTTGCATGTAGGCTACTTTGACTAACAGATGAGGGAGAAAGACAGAGAGAGAGACAACACGGTGTGGATCAGTGAGTCGCTCGCACCGTGCAGCTTGATGTCATCCATGTGGAGGAGGTGACTGACGGTGACCCTGAGTAACCGGTGCTGTTGATGATTTGACTGAGGGGGTCATCTGGGCTTCAGAAGTGTAGTCAGATGGTGAGAGAGAAGGTAGTCCACACAGAGGGGGTCTCACTCCCAGAAGATATAATAGCAGACACTGAGGACACCTTGCTATCCCACAAAAAAATTAATAAAAAAAAAATAAATTACTGTATTACAGATAGGGATGTAACAATAACCGAAATATCGTGATATCGTATCGTCAAAGTTCTCACAATAATATCGTGGACCATCACAATATATTGAATTCAAGTCTCTTTGCTTAAATTAAAAGTTATGGTGCAGCAATAGCTTAAAAAAAAGACAGATGGAACTACATACAGTAGACCATGATCCTTTGCTCCATTTCAGTGCAGACTACATGAAGAAATAACAGTTCTAAGCACTTTTAAGTCTTAGTTCTTTGGATTAAGTCTCGTCAAGGCATTTTAAGAGGAAAAAGTAGCATATTAACAGTTTTTTTGGCCTCCACAAAATATCGCAATAAATATCGTACGGTGAGATGTATATCATGAAAACATTGTATGTGTTGAGAGATTTGGATATTGTTATATTCCTAATCGTGAGCCTCCCCACCGTATTGTCAGCTTTCGCACGATATTGCAATAATTATCGTACCGTGAGGTTCATACCGCGACGATATCGTATCGGGAGACTTGGATATCGTTACACCCCTAATTACAAAGCATCCAGCATTATGGACATATTATGACTACATGAATTCTCTCTATAAAATGGATAATTGTTTAAAATGTATTTTATTCTAAAACATACTTGACTTTATAATCTGTTCTAACCCTAATTAATGGTTGTGTTGTTTTTTAGTTCTTTTTCGCAGATCGAACAGTGTGTTGACTTCATTAAAATGATTTGCGGAAACTCTTCTGTGCGCCGTCTGTCCACTACCTCCTCTGCGTCTCCCTGTTCCAATCACATCCTCACGACAGAGTGGCTCTGGTACTGGGAGGATGACAATGGCACATGGATGGAGTATGGACAGGTCAGTCTATCAGAATATAAAGATTTTACTTATTTATTTGATATGGGCAAAGTAATTACATTGGATGAATCAGATGCATTGTTTCAACTGTTATAGCAAAAAAAATAAAAAAATAAAAAATAAAAGCTCTCTCTCTCTCCAAAAAATCCTCTACAATGCAATCAAGTCTTAGCCTGATTCATCAGTCGGTTTCACTTCATAGAAACTGTCTGAATTTGCAGCATTAGGATTTGTTTGCTCGATGGTAGACGGGTACTTTTTTCATTTAACCAATCGCTGCTATTTGGTCGTGATATATGTAATGTTCTGGTATATTAAGCTTTTCCCAAATCCCATAGGAAGAAGGACAACGACGTCTTTCCCCTTGATAAAATTCACCAAACATTCTCTTTGTTCCGACTTTAAATCCTTGATCTTGGGAATCTTTGCCAGCACAGAATATATGGCCCTTCGCTGATTGGCTGGTGCCCGAACTTGCACTTTTGGGGTTTTTGCGAACTGTCTAGTGTATTCTGATTCCTGATCTAGTCACTGGAGAGAAATGAAATTGAGGGGAGGCACTAGGTGGTGCCAGCCTGGCTAAGTCTATCCAAAACTAAATTATAAACTAAGATAACCTACAAGTCTAAAACCTATACTAGTTCTAAACCAGGACGAATCCAAAAGAAGTCAAAAATGTGGATTAAATTGGCTCTACATTCAACAAACACTTGAACTGCAGATGTTTCAGAGTACCATAAGACGTTTAGCTCTTTCTCCTTGTTTTATATTTTGTATAAGGTCTTGTCTATAGGCTCTATTCGCACTTACGTCATAAACCAGGAAGATGTTCTCTGGGCTCTCTTCTAGGAAAAATGAGAAAAAGGCCCAGTTTTCTTCATTCAGTGTTTCGTTATATTTGGCTAATCAACAATTAAAACCATACCTCAGTTTTCATCATTTCTCCACTGACACACGACTCCGAGCGTGCTGGGTACATGCGATTAGAAGAGACGAGGGTGACAAATTCAAGATGATTCCAAACCGCACATACGTATGCAGTCTTTATTTTATCATTGATCACATTCACTTCAGTGGGTTTTATCACAGTCAGTCAGCGAGCCCAGTGTCGGGAACTCCACCGGAAGTTGAAATGTAATTACGTGTTTCTAAATGTCTTCTTGGTTTGTGACGTAAGTGTGACCCTGGCTGTGTGAGTCATTTCGTTTGATTACTCTCCCATTTCATTCTGGTTGACTGCTGCATTCTGGTCCCTGGTTGGTGGGGCACTTATACACGTGGCCAATCCTGACACACTTTGCAGCCACATCCCTCAATTGAAGGAGTAAAAAAAAGTGTGACTTATAGTCCAAAAAATATGGTATATATTTTAGACCGTTTATGTTAGTTTACCTTTTACATTCCTGTTTATTAAATTATTACTTTATTTATGCAATTTTCTTTCTTGGTTTTTGTTACTTCCTTAAAACCTTGGCCTAGCATAACATGGGTAGATTAGAGAGTAACTTTTTATGACTTATTTTTCTTTCAGGGTGTTACACAGGCCTCTCTCACCTCTCAGAATCTGGAGGAAAAATATCTTGCAGACAAAAATGCAGACGTTGAATTTGATGTAGGCAGTCAGAAATACAAGCTTTATTTTAAGGGGGCACAGGGACTGCCGATGTATCAGCAAGACCTAAGATCCAACACCAGAAGAGAGGTGAGAAGAAGGCCGCGCTTTGTGTCTGCTCAAGATGTTCAGGCTAAGATAAAGAGGTAAGGTAAGTTAATTTTCTTTGCACTTTTGTTCACATCTTGTCCAAACATTTTCATTTTTGTTTTAGTGCCAGCTCCTCTCCCGTTGTCCCAGTTTGAGGGGACTGGAACAAGAACGCACTGCCTGAGACTGGATACAAGGTATGACTGATAACTGGTCATACTGTTTAATCAAGCATAGAAGAGTGACATTACAGCACATGATTCAACTAAACATTTGATTTCAGTCCATATCCCTCTCTACCTCTGCCAGAGAATACAAGATGATTGTGAAGCTGTTTATGCCAACCATGCCCAAGAGTAAAATTATCAGCATCAAAAGGATCCAGAACCCATCTCTGTGGACGATGCTTCAGTTGTGACAGGTTTATCATAGTCCAATGAGATTAATTTGGTCTTCCGATATTTTATGTGATGAGGTTCTTTTTACAGACCAAGAGTTTGCTTTTCATACCTGACTGCTCACTAGTGGGACAGAGGAAAACAAACATTGTCGCTCGATTAAAGAGGCAATCGAAATATGGAAACATGCTCAAGGACTATAAACTGGGACGAGGGGGCTTTTTTGTCTCTCACACACCTGGGATAGTGTCCTGAGGAAGTCGGACTGCAGATGGCGCTGTCGTCCTGCCCCCACCGGTAGGAAGACAGTGCCAAAACCTGTTTAAATCAGATGACAGGACATGTCACAGCAACATCACGTGACCACTCTGAGGAAGAGCGCTAGTGAGCAGTCGAAACTGTCAGGTTTATGATGTTAAAAGCAGCAGAGAAATCCAAATTGTAATAATTTAAACACCGTTTGAAAAGCATGTGGGCAACATTATTGTTTATTGGATCAACAAAAGTAAATTCTGTTGTTAAGTCCAGTTTTTAATCACTGTTGTCTTTTATGTAAAGTGAAACTTTCTTTAAAAAAATTTTAAACGTGCACTCTCACATCTCTGCTCGTCTGGATTACTGCAATGCACTCTACACAGAAATCAACCAAAATGCACTTTATTGCTTACAATTAGTCCAGAACTCTGCTCCACCTCTTTTAACAGTGAGCAAAACGCTCCAAAACAGATCACCCCATTCTTGCATTTTTGCACTGGCCACCTGTGAATTTTATAATTTATTTTAAGATTTAATTAATTTATTTTTTTATTTTTGTATGGACTGGCACCACATTACATCTTGGACCTCATCCAGATTTACTCCCCACGCTGAGGTCCAAGGGCCAGCTCCAGCTTGTGGGTCCTAAGACGAGACTTAAAACCAGGAAGGCAGGACCTTCTTTACAGTCGGACCTAAACTCTGAAACACTCTGCCCCCCATGTCCAAACAGCCCCCACAGTGGAGAGTTTTAAGTCTCATCTTAACACCCACTTTTAATCTCTGTCTTTCAATACAGTATCGCACGAGTTGTGTGGTCCTCTGTGTCTTTTATTTATTTTTATTCTTTGTTTTTATCTAGTTTATTCTTTTTAGTGCTGCTTTTAGTTATTGATTATTATTGATTATATTATTTTTATTCATTGATTTTATATTATTCTTGTATCTGTTGTTTCTATTAGTTCCTTTTGGCCTGAACATAATTCTGCTGAGTTAAATGTTTTACACTGCTATATACAGAACTTTGGAGACTGTCTTTTTTGTAAAATATGCTATACAAATTGGATTAGATTGCACTTTATTGATCCTAAAGGAAATTCACAAATGGTTGCACAATTCAGTGCCTGCCTACACATGACATAGTAGAATAGCATAGAAGCATTTTATGTGAAAAGGAGTTTAAAAAAAATAATCCTTTAAGTAATGTGAAATTTCTAGACTGCAAACATTAAAAAAGTGAAAAGTTGTCTCATATCAAGGAGTCTGATTTACTGAAGCAGTTGTGTGCACACAATCACAAAACTACCTGACCCTGACAGTCGTCTGTCCCTAAACTGTGACATAACAACACATACAGAGTTTTTATATCTCACAAAAGGCATAAGGCACAGGACTGATACAGACACAAAAGACCTCATCCAACACAACAAGTGTGAACAAGTCAAGACACAACAAAAAGTTGAATAACAAGCTTGGATTGATATAATAGAACAATAGAACAATAGACTCGTATGGGGGGGACAGGAAAACAGGAGCAATCAAACTAGTTACAAAAACCAAGATGTAAGAATCAAGAGTTTGTGATAACTTTGCTTAACAATAGCTTTCTGATGTAACTTAAAACCAGTAAAAGATCACTGATGTAAACATTACCATAACAGTAACAATGATTTGCCTCATGTGTTGATCTGTTCAAACTTCGCGCCCACCTCCCTTTTTGTCATTTTCACATATACCATTATGCTTTATCTGCTGACCTTCCTTTAACTGGTTTCAACTTGATTTTATTCCTTATTTATTTTTATTCAATTTCTTTTTATTTGTTTATCACAATTTACTGGATTGTTTACATCATTGTCTGTTTTTGTATGTCTTCTGTTTGCTATTTTTGTATTGTTCTTTGTGGCTTGTACAGCACTTTGTAAACCTTGTTTTTAAAAGTGCTGTTAAATACTATATATTATTATTATTATTATTATTATTATTATTATTATTATTATTATTATTATTATTATTATTATTATTAATAATAATAATAATATCTTGGTTGCTATGGTAAACTGAAGCCATCGTTGCTAGGGACGGGAGCGCCGCCTCTTTTCGGTGCCATCGGTGCAGTTTCGTGATTTTCTTTTGTGTCAACCATCAAAACAGAGATTTCTTGATATTAATATCTACAACGTACGCCCATATAACACTTTTTTTTACCACAATTTTATTTTATTTATTCATTTATTATTATTATTTTTTTTATTATTTTTGTATGACTTCCTGTTTGCCTCTTCCTGTGCCGCGCCTCCTTTAAGATTCAGTTTCGTTTCTGGTTAAAGGAAAGTTGACTGTGCGGTTTTTGAGGTGAGGTTTTATCCCAGTTATGGCTAAGATAGTTTATAAGTGTATCCTGCAGGCTTTGTGCAATAATCAGGGCAGCTTGGACTTCCGGAGTCTAAATGAACAGATTTCTAAACATGTTACCGTGGCGGAGGAATTGCTGCGCACCATTCTGTTCGACGACGAGAAAATATCCATACAAGAGGGTAAAGAGAAGGCCAGCGGTGCAGAAGTCATCATACCTGACAGTATCATCGTGGCAAAAACCAGTGTGCGTCTGTGTACGTCCAAAACGTGCCAAGGATGCGACAAGTTACACCTGTGCAGATATTACGTGTGTGGAGGATGCCGTTTCAAGTAAGAAAGTTATTTTATTTTTTATTTATTTATTTATTTTTCTGGTCGTCAGCTGTTCTACTGAGGCGTGACAGGTTTATTGCAAAGATAACGATGAAGTGAGTGCCTTTTATTGTTTATTTTAGCATGACGCTCTATTACCTAGTTGTAGGCTGTTAATATTTTACGAAGGGGGTGTTGTACATGTATGTTTATGGCGGCTGCTGCTGTTACATTGATTCCTATACGCAATAATCTGTAAGAAACTTCTGTAACTGTACGCATTATCTCACTGCTGTTGTTCAGATTAATAATTAATCCTATCTTAAACAAAATTGGCTCCCGTGAGCTTTAAACCATGTTATAATGTTCTTACATCATCAAAAATCAGACCTGGAGTTGTGTTTTGTTTCATTTACATATGTTTGAGTAATTCTTTATCATTAGACTTAGTAATTATATCTCCAAAACTCAAAATATTATTATTATTATTATTATTATTTATGTATTCATTTTGGGCAAGTAAGAGATTTTCCATTCTTATACAATGGAACATGTTACATTAATTAATAAATCATTATAGAAATAACCACAACAAACAAACAAAGTAAAAAAAAAAAAAAAAGCCAAAAAAAAAAAGGAGTGGGAAGAAGAAAAACTTATCTAATCCTAGCTCCTCTAATTTAACATGAGTTTCTTTTTCATTTTTCAGACATTTTACATTAAAGTATGAACTACTTACAAATGCAGACAATGAGTACCTGTTATAGTTTGTATTACAAACTATTGCAATAATGCATAAGTAGACGAACAATGGTCACAGACAACAGATAAAAGAAACAGGAAACAATAAGTATAAAGCAGCACTACAGAAGGCAGGATTGTTCTTTTACGGGTAGGTCGAACATTGGACAATTTGAAATTTCCATACCCTCTAAAACTATGAGTTCTCTCTCATTTTGAACAAACTTTGTAGATTACTTGGTAGTAAACTGTTGAATGCTCTAAATCGGGGGTCTCCAACCTGTAGCTCCTCAACCCCCCTCCAAGTAGCTCACCAAGGGATTTCTGAATCATATGTATTGTGCTGAGAAACTAAAATTTTATTTAATTAAATGCCTATTACTATTGTAAATGTATCATTCTGGTGCCTATCTTTGTGTAAATGTTTTATAGATGTTAAACTGCACCACATCTAAGGGTCTTATATTTACTCCATTTCTTATGACCGCCTGTCAGGGAATCTAAAAGGGAAATGATGGGAAAACCCACTAATTGTTTTCTCTAGTGTAGATTAGCTTAATGAGTCAGCTGACACATCAGCCATATCAGCTGATGTTTTCATGTTACATACATCTTGAATAAAACAAAACACAAAGCAATGTTGATAATTTTATATTACATCATGATTAATATTTAAATGATTCATACTTTAAATGAGTAACACTTTAAATGAGAAATACTTATAACATAAAAATCTGCGTATTGTAAGAGTAGCTCAACCTTTAAATAAAATTACCAGTGTATAATATTTGACAAGATCAGGAATCTTTAGGAGCTTGGACTGATTAAAAAGATTTCAGGTGTGTTCTAAAACTCCAACTTTATTTATTTATTTAATTTGCAAAGCTCGTTTCTGTAATATAATAAATTTAGTAACCGTACATTGCTCTGTTCTGCTTTTGATGTCATGAAGTGACAGTTGTAAAGTCAACATCTTATTTTACCTTTAGTTCAGTAGAGATTGATAATTCCAGGGCAGGACCTTCTAGTGAAGGTGTATGGCGTTTAAAAACAAGGTGGAGCTCTTCTTACACATGACATCACAAGATGGAACAGAGCGTTTTCTGTTTTGAGGGAAGAACTGTGTTAAACATGTGTGAATGAAACAAAACACAACTCCAGGTATGTGTGTGATGAGGAACCGACTGTAACATAGATCCAAAAATAATGTAATATGAGCTCTTTAAAGTTTAACAAAGCTTCAGACAGAGCAGTGCCTATAGTTAGCATCACACCCCCAGGGAATGTTGATGATTCAGCTGAAAAGTATCAAGGGAGGTATCAATAAACACACACACACACACCTTTCTGTAAAAACATTATGCTTTGTGGTTCAGTGATTACAATTTCTGTTTTGTGTTCAGAGACAAGTGTAAAAACTCCCACAGTGTGACGTCGCCGCACAATGTCCAGGTTTTGGGGAAGTGTGACCTCCAGGATCTCACAGAAAAGCAACTGTTCCAACTGTTACTGCAGAATGACCCCTTTCTGCTTCCAGAGGTCAGTTACAGTAAGAATAATGTTGTCTCTAGATCAGTTAGGGTTAGTAAAGTACTGAATTTAAAGATGTATTATGTTGGGCCCGACCGATATGGATTTTGCTGCGGCCGATATGATAGCGATAAAATGGGAGTTGGAGCTGCCGATATAATCACCGATATATTTAGTGATGTAAAAATTAATTCATATCTAGTGGATATTAAATTAGGGTTATTTAGGCAACATGGATTGTTATTCTGACTCTTTACGTCATATTTACATACAGTAGATTGGCCTAATGGCATTTTTGCATCACATTCTAGCTACTAGTGATGGGTATTCCAGTTTTTTTTTAGAGAACCGGCTATTTTGTCTCTTCTTACTAAAAGCAGTTGGCTCTTTCGGCTCCCAAGCGACTCTTCAGGTTGTTTTGTTGCAAGCAGGACTAAACCTGGACTGAAAAAGGACTAAATCAGGACTGAAAAAGGACTAAACCAGGACTGAAAAAGGACTAAACCATTACTAAAACAGATCTAAACCATGTGTAAAACAGGACTAAACCAGAACTGAGCCAGGACTGAGTGTCGGGATGCGGTCTCTATCTCTCGCCCCCTCTTGAGCCCAAAATTAGTCCTTTTTTATTCATCATCATTCATTTTTCAAGGTTTTCTATCTTATGCACACACATATTTCTGAAAGTTTCATTTTCAGCCACTGCCCACTGTCAAACTACGGATCTGTACTGTTTTTGCTGCCCGTTTTTCTAGGTATTTTTGAGCTGTAAAACCACTTGTAATTGAAAAAAATGTAAAGTAGAGCTGTTTAATGTCATACTGTGGAACATTCCAGAGAGAGCAATGGTGTCTCCATAGAAGGACCAGGAGACAAACCATCCACCAGAAAATTTACACAAAGCAATCATATCTCCATCCCTCAGATCTGTTCCCACTACAACAAAGGAGATGGCGAGAGCGGCTCCTGCAAATACAATACGACCTGCACCAAGCTTCACATGTGTCAACACTTCTTAAAAGGTGACTGTAGTTTTGGCTCATCGTGTAAAAGAAACCACTCCATCGACGCTCAGGGGATGAAGCTGTTCCAACAGTACAGTCCGGAGAATATTAAAGGCCTCTACAAGATCTACAGAAACAAACTCATCATCCAGGACCAAAGGGCACGGCCAGATCCTGGTAACTATCACCTATTTTATATAAAGTCCTTAAGGTGTAGTAACTTTTCTGGTGGGGGAGATGTTATAGCTGTGCATGAAATGTTACACGGTATGACGTTAAACTAAAGACAAGCTGTGGAACATTTCAGTCAAAGCAATAACATCTACATGGAGATGCTGGCGGCAGAGCCTCCACTAGAAAAGTTACATAATGCACCTTTAAATGTCCTGTATTACCGTATTTTCCGGACTGTAAGTCACTCCGGAGTATAAATCGCACCAGCCAAAAAATGTGTTATGAAGAAGAAAAAAACATATATAAGTCACACCGGACTATAAGTCGTACTTTTTGGGGGAAATGTATTTTATAAAATCAATGATCAGGAACCAACGTTTCATCTTGAATGGCAAGTTATAGTAATAACAATAGAATAGAGAACTAGAGGCTGAATAGGCGTTAATGTCATATATGAACAGTTCTTCATATAGCTATAGCATAAACAACAAAACAGAACAAGTTTACAAAAGCTCTCCATCTCACTCCAAATCACTAAATCCATTCAATTCTTCATCCTCCTCGGCCTCCGGAGGTAAACAGAGCGCCACTTCCTCTTCTGTGTCGCTGTCGTCAGACTCAGCATCAGTTCCAGTTAGAATTTTTCCGGCCTTTCTGAATCCCGACAGGCTGGTTTCTGTGTCACTGAAGTTCAGGCTTTGTCCATCCATCCAGTGACTTCCAGGAAAGTTGCATGGTGCACTCTCCCCGTTCCTCTGAAGCTGTGTTCTCCATCTCCGCTTTCCGCCCGGTCCATCACAAGTTTCTCACTCATTTAAGACTTTCATTCTGCTGCTCAATTACCGTTTTTGGCTGAATATTTCACTACTTGCAGCAGGACAGCTTTTTCTGCAGGAGGCAGTAGAGTGAAGTGACAGTGATACAGGAGTAATAGGAGCAGCAGATACTGACACACAGCTCTAAAACTCCTCCTGTGTGACGTGAGCTCCTCAGACCACTTGTATCTCTGTCTTGTCCTTTCGGTCATTACCCAAAGCTCACATGTTTGAGTAATCCTGTATTAGTCTGTATACATCTTCAAAGCTCAGAGTGCTCTGTTCCACCTCGTGATGTCATGAAGCAGTAATTTTCAAGTTACCAGCTACCTTTTATCTTTTGGTTAGTAGAGACTGGAAATCCCAGAGCTGAAATGATCTAAATGATTTTAATGAAGGTGTATGGAGTTTAAAAACACAGGGGAGCACTTCCTGTATTACCAAATGACATCACAAAGTGGAGTGTGGTCAGTTTAAGGCTACGTTTATAAGATGATGGTCTGAACAGAAGACACAAAAGTGGCATCGCGTCTTCACTTTTTATTCCGTACTTAGACAAGCGTTTTCGGGAGGAAATCTGCGTGCATACGGTGACGCAAAAGTGTGTGGAATTCGATTGGCTATGCACGCCAGGTTTCTGTGTACTGTATGTATGTGACGTAAACGTGTACGCGATGCGAGCAGATCTGACCAGAGTTTTGCGTCTTGAGCAGTGTAGACGGAAATGCTATGGCGGAGTGTATTCGGCTTTTCCACTCAGGAGGGCGGTTTCAGATTTTTGCATTTTTAACTCCCAAAAACGCCATCACCGTCTAAACGAAAGGCACTACTGATAAAATATTTTGTCGCTTTTACCAGCAAGCGTTCTCATGTAAACAGACCCTAAGAGAAGAACTTTGCCTAAATATGCAGTTTGTGTGTTAAACGTGTGAATGAAACAAAACACAACTCCAGGGATGTTTTTGATGAGGAAACCACATTATAACATAGATCAGTAAATAGTCTAATATGGGCTGTTTCAGATATGATTTTGATTTACATATGATTGTTTCAGTGTCTCCAGAAGTGAGCTGCCCAGTTCCACTGTCTCCCTCCAAAACAGTTCCTTCTGCTTCCAAACAAACCTCCAGCAAACCTCAGAGTCCAACCAGCGCTGCGACTCCTAAACCCGTGACGGACTCGGACCGCAATGAGATCTGCCTGTTCTTCATCCGTAGAAACTGCAAATATAATGGTAGGATTTGATTTTTACATCTGTTTGGTATCATAGCAAATACTTAAAAGGTGCATTGTGTAACTTTTCTACTAGAGGGTCCGTCAAATGCTTTTCGCCATGGAGATGTTATTGCTTTGTCTGGAGTGCTTCACAGTATGGGATTAAATCTTTATGACCAAACCAGACCAAGTTACAGGTCAGATCTGGGGAGAGACGACCCCACTCACAGTCAGAATACCCATTTTTCTAGGTATTTTTGAGCTATAAAACCACCTGTAATTGAATAAATGTAAGGTAAAGCTGTTTAATGCCATAGTGTGGAACATTCTAGACACAGCAATGACATCTCCATAGAAACAAGCAGGTGACAGACCCCCAAACAGAAAGTTACACACTGCATCTTTCTTCATGAAATTGTGAAAGCATTTATTTTTGGAAATACAAATGAATCAAACTTGAGCTCGATGATTACAAGTAGGAAAAATGGGATTCATTTTTCAGGATTCCCACAGTCAAAGTCATGTCCATTGAATTGAAAATGTCATGGTCTTTTGTAAATTCAAGGAAAGTTTTGGAAAAATAATGGAATTTTAGTATTTCTTTCACTCAATTCCAGCGTTATCATTAGTCTATTTTGATTATTTCTGAACGTCTGAGCCTTCTGTTTAAAAGAGACGACAATAAATGCACTGACAGTATTTTGAATGTTAAAAAACTATAAAACCAAACCAGAAGGTGAGTGGAAAGAGTTAACATTTCATATTTAGCTCTAAAAGTCTGACCAATTCTACACATGTAGGTGCCGTAAAGTCATGGAAAATTCACTTTAGGTCATGAAAAATCATGGAAAAGTTTTGAAATTTTGTCAGTGAAAAAGAGTGGCAACTCAGATTTTTACTGTGGGCTGTTCTGAGTGTATCTTTATGTTTTCTTTTCTTTTGTTTTTTCAGAGAGGTGTGTGCGCGTTCACTGGCACCTGCCTTACAAATGGGAGATGTGGGAAGGAGAAAGCATGACCTGGAAAAACCTGGATAACATGGAGGACATTGAAAAAGCCTTTTGTAATCCAGCAAATGACACGAGCAGCAACAATCAACAGACATCACCGTCTTCTGGGATGTTTGGATTCTTTAAATATCAAAGGTATGTCAAATGTAACACACATGTGGCTGGATTCCACATATTAATATGTGTAAATGTTTGGCTTTTTTTTTGTTTCAATTTTTACTTCCTGGTTAGAAATCAGTGGCCAAGCTAGTGCCACCTAGTGCCTATAACTGTCACCTGGCAACAATATTGTTCACTGGGTCAAAACTCCTCGAATGTACAGAGAGATTGTTATTTAAGAAAGAAAAATATAAGAAAACAACTTTATTATGTTGAAATAATGTTTAAAATATTTGAAAAAAATTGTTTATTGTGTAAATTGTGCAAAATTCTCCCCAGTGTGATGTGGAACTCTAGTTGACTTTTGTTGTATCTTGCAAAAAGAAAAAACTGTTCTATGTTCTGCAGTACCTTTTAATAATATTACAGCAGGGATTCTCAGCACAAGAGTGACATAACAGGCAAAAAACATCAGAGAGTCTACAAGTGTCTAGCAGAGAGTTTCTGAGAGTCTGAGGGTCTGCGAGTCTAACCAAAGCTTTTGTATTGTCCGTTTATAAATGTTATCTGTAGCTGATAGTTTTACCCTGGGAATCTTCCGGCGCTTCTGCAGTTTGTATCATAAAACAGAGCAGCATTCATCGTTTAAAGTTACTGAGCAGAACATTTTGCACTTTAGCTTTTAACACTAAGATTTAAGTATGAAATGAATATAATGAGATTTTTGTTCACACTCCCTACCTCCTGAAATTTTTAACATGTTTTTCAACTTTTCTTCACAAATCGCTTCTTGATTGGTGTAAAACAAACATATGTCAAATGTAACACGTATGAGTGCAGTTCATATATTAATAAGTGCAAAAGATTAAACTTCAAATACAGTTAATTTGATTTATTTGTCTACAGTGGTCCCTCATTTATTGCAGGGATTATGTTCTAAAAATAACCCTCAATAGGCGAAATCTGCAACGTAGTCAGCTTTGTAGTTTACAATGATTATATCTGTTTTAAGGCTGTGAAACCTCTCATCACACACTTTATGCACTTTTATCAGACAAGACAGTTACAACCCTTTTTGCATTCTTCTTAAAACTTACTGCTGCTGTCGTCCTTTTGTTATTTTCCTCCCTCTTTATGTAATGAACCAAAGATTAATTTATTCCATAATGGTGCCCTACCTTCCTTCAGCGTGTCCATAAGTCCAACTTTTTTGCGATGGTTTGCATCTTCCTCTGCCTTTTGGGTGCGACCGCAGGAGCCTTTGTGGGTGCAGAATGTTCGTCGATATTATGGGTTTTGTCAGAGAGAAAACTTGCAATAACATACAGCACTTCAGAATCACACTGATAGAGATCTAACATTTATGTAAATTTGTCAAGCTGAACGCATTCTGTGCAGAAAGAACAAAAATGTGGCTGTTTGCTGCACGTGTTCCAATCAGTAGGAGCAGGTAGAGGGTGCTCTTGGAAAAAGGATCAAAACTAAAACACAATGGATTGTAGGAACACATTCTGTACTGTACAGGAGACACGGCACGGAGGAGCTTGATTGACAATGGTCAATCAGGACGCAGGGGGAGGAACACAATGCATGTTCATACGCTGTAAAAAAAAAAAAAAAAAGTATGTAAAATTGCACAAAACAGTGAGGCCATGAGAGGTGCCTTATAGTGAGGGTGACTGTATTTATTTATGCCTTTAAAACTTATACATATATGACACTATTTTCTAATCTATGTTATAATGTTGTTTCCTCATCACAAACACACCTGGAGTTGTGTTTTGTTTCATTCACACGTGGCGAACACACAAATATTGCAAATTGTAGGCTGAGTTCTTCTCTCAAACAGAAAACTGTGTTCCACTTTGTGATGTCATGTGGGAATACAGGACTCCATACACCTTCACTAGAATCATTTGGATAATTTCAGCCCGGAAGTGGCCAATCTCTACTGAAAACTACCACTACATGGCATCACAAAGTAGAACTAAGCATTTTGAGTTTTGGAGATGTAGACAGACAGTGTGAATGAAACAAAACACAACTCCAGATCTGTTTTTGATGAGGAAACAACATTCTAACATGACTTAAAGTTTGTAAGAATCAGTTTTGTGTAATATACGACCTTTAATAAAACAAATAAACATAACTGCTTTATTAGAAAATGCATATAAGCATACAGCATCGCACAAATAATGACTACATGCTGAACATACAGGCCTACTACTTGTGTTTTCTGTTTTATTATTGGGGGAGGGGGGTCTGTACATTTTTGGCAATGTGAAGCACTTTGTAACTGCTGTTTCGAAAAGCGCTAAATAAAATTTTATTATTATTATCATGCACTTTTATATTATTCTAAAACCTTCTTCTTATAGTCTTTATAGTCTACTCTAATCCTGTAATGTCTTGTATTTGTTTTTTTTGTTTGTTTTTTTTGCTTTAAATAATTTTTGTTGTGTTTCAGTTCTGCTCCAGCCGTCCAGTGTGTTGACTTCAATAAAATGATTTACGGGAGCTCTCCTGTGCGCCGTCTGTCCACTGCCTCCTCTGTGTCCCACCCTCCCAATCACATCCTCACGACGGAGTGGCTCTGGTACTGGAAGGATAACGGTGGTGCGTGGGTGGAGTATGGAGAGGTCAGTCTAAACATATTGTATTTTTGGGCTGGGAGTTGCAGCAGATCTGGAATGTGAGCATCTTTTTTTGTTAATGGCAGTAGATGGCGGTAATACAACTTCTAGGATGTGAGCCCCCGTTAAACTCCACAGAAGAATCAAAAGAAAATATATATCGTATTTTCCGGACTATAAGTCGCTTCGGAGTATAAGTCGCACCAGTCAAAAAATGCGCAATGAAGAAGAAAAAATATATATAAATCACAATGGACTATAAGTTGCACTTTTTGGGGAAATGTATTTTGTAAATTCAGAGATTAGGAACCGACATTTCATCTTGAAAGGCAAGTTATAGTAATAACAATAGAACAGAGAACAACAGACTGAATAGGCGTTAATATGTTAACGTAACATATTAACAGTTATTCAGATAATTGTAGCATCAGCAGACTCATCATCAGTTCCAGGTAGAATTATTCCAGCTTTTCTGAATCCCGACGATGGTTTCGATTGTCAATGAAGTCCAGACTTTGTCTCGCTCACTCCAAACTTTCTTTGTTGTGCTGACATTTACACCGACGTCAGCTCCCACTGGGCACCACAGTTTTCTAACATGGGAGTCAGCGGGCTTGTTTGTTTTATTAAGTCGTTTTAGATGAATACTGCAATTTAAAATGTCTTAATTCTAACATAATGATCCACAGGTGTCATAGATTATAACTATAAACCAGACACAGGCACAATAGGTCTCTTTAAAATTTTGACAACTACTGGATTAGACAATAACTGTTTATGTTTTGTTTGTATTTTCAGGATGGTACTGGGAATGCATCGGCCTCTCTCACCTCTCAGACTCTGGAGAATATCTATCTCGCAGACAAAAACGCAGACATTGAATTTACCGCCGAAAGTCAGAAATACAAGCTTTATTTTAAGGGGGCACAGGGGCTGCAGATGTGTCAGCAAAACCTACGATACAACACCGTAAGAGAAGTGAGAAGAAGGCCGCGCTTTGTGTCTGCTCACGATGTCCAGGCTAAACTGAAAAGGTAACAGCTTTTCTATGGTTTACCATATACATGTTCCAAATAGAAAGTGAGCATGGGAGCACTTCTGGCTCCATCAACTTTGGTTCCAATTGACCTTACATTGTAAAACTGTCACGCCTCTCTGTAACTGCTGCAGTGATCCTTGTCATTTTGGTCTTAAAATGGTTGTATTAAGTAAGTAAGTTTTTACTTATATAGAACTTTTCATAGACATATGTTCCAAAGTCATCAGTAGAGGTCTGAGTGGGACAGAATTTTCAGTCCTGCTCCCTTCCGCACCTACACTATGCTGTCCTGCTCCTGAATTGTAATTTTCTTTCCCGCTCCCGCCCACAAATCCCACAAGATGGGGAGGTTCGCTTTTTTAAGCTCTATTGAACACAGAGAAGCAGAAAGGAATTGTCTAAAATGTGCGTGAGATTAGACCACATCCGCAAATTTAGGCTGCTTAAATTGTTTTGTATCAAAGCCAAATCAAATATCTGGCGCAAATGACGTATGATAGGCAAACGTGAATCATTTGTATATTTTACTTTACATTCATATTTAGTTTGCACTGTGCATTGTGCAGTCCTGCTCCCGTGCCGCACTTTTTTTGCGTCGGGTCCCACAGGTGCACGGCTCTACTTTACAGATCATTATTCATTCGGCCGCCAATCTGCGCCATTGGTCCTTCCAACGACCACCATCACTCACACACACACACCACTTTCATACTAGGCAATATGGGTGAAGTGTCTTGCCTAAGGACACACAACAACAGTTTTTGCATTGCGAGTGGCGCCCCCTTGTGGCACCTGATTTTCCCCGCTGACGAGATCAGGCTTTGATCACATGAGACATTAACCCACTCTACACGATCCTGGTGTTTTTATTTCATTATTTTGTCCGTAAATAAATTCCTATTACTGATATGGACCTGGCTCCAAATTCAGTCTATGTGTCTCATTTTACTCATTTACTTGACCAACTACTGTATTTTTCTTTTTTGTTTTAGTGGCAGCAATTCATCAACACAAAGCAGCTCCTCTGCCGTTGTTGCAGTCCCTTCAAACTGGGATAAGAATGCCGTGCCTGAGACTGGATACAAGGCACGCACTCTTCGCTTTACTTATCCGCTAACTGGTGATACTGTTTAAAGTGCCTATGACAGGCTGGACTACTCATTTGACTAAAACACAATTAAGATCAGTATAAAGATTTTTTTTTTAAAAAGTAAAAAAAAAACTGTTAACTGTTACCCAGCAAACATGTCGTACACTTGGCCAAAACTCCTCTAATCTACACAGTGATTATTATGTATAATAAGAATAAAAAATATAGGAAAACACCTTTATTATGTTGAAATCATGTTTAAAATATTGGAAAAAAATTTGTTTCGTGTGTAAATTATGCTGAACTTTTTGGATAGAATTCTCCCAATGTGATGGAAGTCTTCTAATACCTGTAATTTTTAACAACTTTTCTTCACAAATGGCTTTTAAAACTATAATTAAAAACTATATGACTATAATTTACAACAGGTTTTATCCCACACCAACTTAAGTCCAAATCTGAGAATCATCAAAACCTGTCAAAGGCACAGAAGTGACTTTAAAGCACATAATTCATTGAACTAAACATTTTATTTCAGCTCGTGCCCCTCTCTGCCTCGGCCAAAGAATACCAGATGATTGGGAAGTTGTTTATGCCGACCATGCCCCAGAATAGAATTACCGGCATCAAAAGGATCCAGAACCCGTCTCTGTGGAGAGTGTTTCAGTGGTAATGGGTCTATTTAACACAATAATAATGATTAAAGGTCTTATATTGCAGAAAATGGACTCTTATGAGCTTTAAGCCATGTTATAATAATGTTAATTCATCAAAAACATACCTGAAGTTGTGTTTAGTTTGATTCTCACATATTTGAGTAATCCTGAATTATTAGTCTGTCTACATTTACAAAGCTCTAAATGCTCTATTGGTAAATTGGTCATGTTTCTATACAGCACTTTTCAACCTTCAAGCAACTCAAAGTGCTTTACATCATTCCTGATTCACATTCATACAACAGTGTACACCGGGGCGATGTGGGTTAAAGGTTGTATAGAGGATTTTTTAATGGAAGAGAAATACAGCGACAGTTCTTTTTCAAATGTTCACCTCCCTCCTCCTCCACTCCCTCAGTAGAAACATCTCTTCCTGCCTCCTTACTCTAGAAATCACGCTTGTTTACAGCCTTGCGCGTTCAGAATTACTGTTGACGTGACCTGTCTAGAAGTAATTTAGCGTCCGACACGTCAGTTTTTAGATCCTTCGTCTGCTTCAGTCGCACCATCACTGGAAGAAATCTCCAAGAATCACCTCAGTTTGGCTTTGCTCCTTTTCTCCTTCTCTTCTTCTTTCAGCGACCTCAAAAACGGACTTTCTTTTGCGGCGAACTGGTCGCGGATTCTCGTCCACCATCGCAACAAACTTTGTGCGAATTGCGAGGAAGCGACAGTTAAAAAAGCTTCTAAGAACCGCTGCATAAACCACGAAATCCCTGCGCGCCGCGAGTCAGTTACACTAGAAACGTAGGGAGTTTGATTGACATCCTAACAGCCCATAGAAAATGAGGCAGCCTCGTTTCCTATTGTCTGATGTTTATCTGGCCTCACTACATCCACAGTTGATAGATTTTCTTTTTTTTCTTTTTTTGGTCATCATAATTACAAGGCTGCTGCGTCTCTGTAATGGTATTTTAAACTTTCACTGATAATTTGAAAAATAAAAAATCCTCCATACAACCTTTAAGTGTCTTGCCCAGGGACAACAGTATTCATCTGTGGGAGCTGGAATTGCACCACTAACCTGTGGCTCAACCAATGATATTTACGTCAAGAGCGGATTCGACAATCAGTGGACAATCGCTGTTTTACCTTGTGATGTCATGAAAAGGTAGCTTTCAAGTTAACCTTTTACCTTTAGTTCAGTTGATATCAGCAGTTCCAGGGCTGAAAAATTTCCAAATGATTCTAGTGAAGCTGTATAGAGTTTATCTGTTGACCTACCCCAGCCAGTCTTGGTCAAGGTCGGCTGGTGTTAACTCGTCCAGGAGAGGCTGGAGCAGGAGGGGGGCTCTCCTCCTCCCCAACTTTCTCTATGCCCTCGTAGCTTTTGCCCCAGCCGGAATTGGTGGGCGGGTCTGTTGTATGCAGCGCCCCCTGGCTGCAGGATCCAGAGGCTGCCTCCAATTCGTCGACTCCAATTCCCTCTCCTCCCCGGTTGCTAGTCTTGTCAATTATGTCTGTACTATGTTTTTGTTGTATGTGTTGATATTGTGGAGGGGTTTCTTTTTTCTTTATGTACTGGTTCCAGATAGTTAGCGTCCCAGATTCCAGATAGTTAGAAGTAAAAATGGATAATTATGTCACAGATAGTAATATCAAGACCCATGGGACTGGTTTTAGTCACTGTAAAGCGGTTTGTGTTGAATTTATTGCATGAAAAGTGCTCTATGAATAAAGTTTGATTGATTGATTGATTGATTGAAAAACACAGTGGAGACTTTCTGTTTTACCACAACATCACAAGGTAGAACAGTGTGTTTTCAGTTTGAGAGAAGAACTCCGCTTAAATCTGCAGGGTTTGTGTATTTTTAACATATGTGAATAAAACAAAACACAACTCCAGGTCAAACATTAGTGTAAAATAGGCTCTTTAAGTGTTGCTGATAAATTACTTATTATTATTTTCCAGGCAAAGGGAGCAGATGCAAAAAAAGAACGGCGGTAAACCTGTGAATGAGAAGCATCTTTTCCATGGGACAGACAAATCTCTCGTTGAAGCGATCTGTGAGCAGAACTTTGACTGGAGGATGTGCGGTGTCCATGGTACCGCTTATGGCAAAGGTACAAGGCCACACACAACAATGCATTATTTTATTATTATACATTATTAACTGTTTTATACGTTACTGCTTATGTGACATTCAGGGTATCATCATTTTAAAGTATTGTATTTTATATTGTATATAAGTTGCACTTTTTTTCATGTTTTGGGTGTTTCCTGCGACTTATACTCCGATGCGACTTATATATTAATATTTTCACACTGACAGCCGCGAGAGGCTCTAGGCTTGTGTGTCAGTTTTCTGCGCATGTTGCCTGCAGAAAAAGCCCGTCATGCTGCAAGTAGTGAAATATGCAGCAGAAAACGGTAACTGAGCAGCAGAAAGAAAGTTGGGAGTGAGCGAGAAACTTGTGAGGGACTGGCAGAAAGCGGGAATGGAGAACACAGCTTGATGGGAGGGTGCGCCAGGCAACTTTCCTGGAAGTCACTGCATGGATCGACAAAGCCTGGACTTCAGTGAACAACCGAAGTTGCACGGAGTTGCTCAGAAGTGACACCAAGGATGAAGAATTCAATGGATTCAATGGATTTAGTGATTTTGAGTGAGATGGAGAGTTTGGTAAACTTATGTTATGTTGTTTATGCTCTAGTTATCTGAATAACTGTTTATATGCTACGTTAACATATTCAGCCAGTTGTTCTTTATTCTGTTGTTATTACTATAATTTGCCTTTCAAGATAAAATGTCGGTTCCTGGTCTCTGATTTTATAAAATAAATTTCCACCCAAAAGTGTGACTTATAGTCCGGTGTGACTTCTATATGTTTTTTTCTTCTTCATTATGCATTTTTTGGCTGGTAAGACTTATACTCTGGAGTGACTTATAGCCAAACCATGAAAAAAAGTGAGACTTATAGTCCGAAAAATACAGTAGTACATTTCTTGAAGTTCTTGTCTTATCTCTTCTTGTATGTATCTTGCAGGGAGCTACTTTGCCCGAGATGCTTCATACTCAAACAGGTACTCCACTGGCCATCGAGAGAAGGTCATGTTCGTGGCCCTGGTGCTGGTGGGCGACTACACCAAAGGACAAAGCCAATATGTCCGACCTCCCCAAAAGGGAAACAGCACATCCCTGTACGACAGCTGTGTCAACTGTGTGACCGACCCCAGCATCTTTGTCATTTTTGAGAAGCATCAGATCTACCCTGAGTACGTGATCGAGTACGTCTGAGGAAGCTGTAAGATCAGTGAACGTGTTAATACTAGGGACGTCCTGATTAAATTTTTTTGCCCGAGTGCTTGTTTTGACCACAGGCTCCTGAAAATGTGCTGTTTAAATCCATTTTGTATTTTTGAGTTTTCAGATTATCCTCAGTCATATTTGGCAGTGTTTGCTAGTGTGTGCATTGTCACCATGGTAACTGCTGAATATTGCACTATAGAGTTACATGTAGAACACCCCCAGTGTGACATCACTGCAAAGTATCAATGTGTAATGACATAAGATAACAATAACTACAATACTAATATAATAGTATATAGAGTAATAGTGTTTTCAGTGTAGGTGGAGGTTACTCTGACAAATTAATCTGGATTATTTTTAAAGATATAATCAGAGGGCAAACACTTTAATCATACTTATCATAATAGTTTACAATGTACGGTGCTACAGGGCTGACATCCTTGACAAGCGCCCCACTCTAGTACTTATTTATTCTCTACACACTAGGTGGGGATCTATACTTCTACACTTCATACATTTTCAAATTATCCTGTTTCAAAACCTGGAAAACTTGTTGGGTACTATTTTTGGTTAAATGACAATAAATCTTTTAATCACTTTATTGTTTGTGTTTTTTTAGATACACTTTGTGGTGGAAATCTTCCATTCCCTTTCACCCCATTTCCATTCACTGAGCTCTTTAATGTTTTTGTGTTTAGAGTGTAACTTTATGGCAGGGGTGTCAAACTCAAATTAACAAAGGGCCAAAATTAAAAACTGGGACAGTTGTGGGTCAAACCAAATATTTATTGAAAAATTTCAACAACATCTGAATGTTTTCTCTTCTTTTGAGATATGTAATGTTAAACCTTTTCTTATTAAAATAAATGTTTAATAATACATTTGCTTAAACATTGAATCCAGAACAAGCAAAATATAAAATAATAACATTTAAAATAAATTATGTCTCTATAATCTATCTTTAGTCGGCGGGTCAGCTCTAATACATATTTGATATGATCTCACGGGCCAAATATAATTATATCTTGGATCAAATTTGGCCCCCGGGCCTGAGTTACATGTTTGATTTATGGTTTTGGTTTGTTAACTGGTTAAGTGACAACTCCGTGTCTGGCTAATTTATAACATAATTTGATGTGTCAGGTCACTCTGGTCTTGGAAGTCACCAGATTATGTATCACCCTCATCATTCCTCAAATCATTTCCTAATATCAATCTGCCACTTATATCAGTCCAGAACCGGTTTTTGACTTGTTCATTTCTGATTGTTGACCCAGTTTTATGTCTGTCTTACCTCATCTTGTGTTTATCCTGTGTTTATGACTTCTTGTGGGATATAAAAACCCTGTATGTATCACTATTAGGGGTGTAACGATATCCAAGTCTCATGATACGATATCGTCACGGTATGAACCTCACGGTACGATATTTATAGTGATATTGTGGGAAAGCTCACGACATGGTGGGGAGGCTCACGATTAGAGATGTAACAATATCCAAATCTCTCAGTATAATATTTTCACGATATACATCTCACAGTACGATATTAATTGCGATATTTTGTGGAGGCTAAAACTGTTAATATTCTACTCTTTCCTCTTAAAATGCTTTGACGAGACTTAATCCAAAGAACTAAGACTTAAAAGTGCTTAGAACTGTTATTTTTTTCTTGTAGTCTGCACTGAAATGGAGCAAAGGATCATGGTCTATGTAGTTCCCTCTGTGTTTTTTTAGCTATTGCTGCACCATAACTCTTAATATAAGCAAAGAGACTTGTAATTCGATATATTGTGAAGGTCCACGATATTATTGTGAGAACTTTGACGATACGATATCACGATATTTTGGTTATTGCTACATCCCTAGTCAGTATGCTTTAGATTAGTGCGAGACGACTGTGAGGGACAGAGACAGCGTTGTAACTGTGCGCACAATTGTTTTAATAAATCAGACTCTTTGATTCAGGGCAACTTTTTCCAGTTTTTATTGTTTGTAGTCTAGAACTGCAACTACTTCCCCAACAACTTCCTCACCACAAAATGTTAACAGTGCTTCAGTTATAAGTGTTATCCCAGAACCAATATAAAACCAGCTCCGTGTGGAAAGTAGTCAGACTTTAGCAGCATGAGCTGAGGAATATTAAAGTATGTCACAATGCAGTGCCTGTCTTCACATGTGACAAGAGTATAACAGCATTTTTGTGCAAGTAATGTCTTTTTTTAAATTTAAAATATATAGACGATTGAGGTGGAATAAAAAAAAAAAATCCTTTATCCAATGATTCCTTTGCATCATGTGCTGATTTGTTCAGTCTCCTCACCCATCTCCCTTTTTATTATTTTCACATAGATGCCATTTTTGGGGCTCAGAGAGTTCGAAGACTTCAGCTCAAGTGGAACCTGCACAGAGACAGAAGGACATATATTATATTGAGGACTCAGTGTTAAACTATAATCAGAGTTTTTTCTCACCTTTGTTTCATCACAGGTCACAATGGTGAACCTGCGTAAAGATTTACTAAAGCTATTTTGATCTCCAGCTGTGCCAGCCTCATGCCCACACAGTTACGAGGACCCGCCCCAAAGGGGAGGTACACAAAAGGATGACGAGCGGCCTTTGCCTCTGGAGTGAATCTGGAAAACAACCACACATCATTTAGTTCACAAAAAAATAGACTGTGTTGCTGGGTTTCAGATTAAATCACAGCATTCTATAGGCCAAAGTTAATAAATACAGATGGAATTATTAAAATATTGTTCAAAATTATGCAGTAATAGGTGAGTTTTTGGGTTTAGCCAATAATAGAAAATACCAAGTTCAACATTTGTGAATTTACCTTTTGGAATTTGTAATAAAATGTAATCAATAGGGAAATCTGACTCTTCACCCCCAAAATCTGAAAACCACCAATAAAGACATGGACTGAGTGAGTGTCATGTCACCCATAGCGTTCGGCTCCAGTCAAATGAAGCTCATGACGCCAGCAGTTTGGGGCAAATTTGGAGCCGACTTCCATATTAGGAATAGGAATTGATTTACAGACAAAACAGCAAAAGGATCATGTTGAGCGGGTTAATTTGAGCATTTTAAGACCAAAACACACACAAAAATATGTGTTCATGAGTAAAATTTATATCTCTTCCTCTTTCTTTAGTTTTATGGCAGGTGGCAACCAATGTTCAGGTGTATTTAAGACCTGTATCTCACCTCTCTGGGATGAACTTCTCCGGTTCGGGCCAGTGCTCTGGATCGTGGTGGAGAAAACCTATTGGAATTTCTAACCAGGCTCCTTTAGGCAGACGCTGGCCATTCACCACTGAGTCACGTTCAATTTCCCGAGCAAACCTTCAATGAAATAACTTCATCCTATTAATTTATATTGGAGGGGGGCCCATGTGAGGCTCCTGGTCCTGGGCCCCTAAATTTCTGTTGACAGGCCTGCTCAGGACTTTACTAATCCACAAGGGAAATTACTTGGACACAGTGGCTCACAGATCACAATATAATATAATAACAAAGAGTAAAATATATTTATATAAATGATAATAAATTCAAAATAAGTAGCAAAAAAAAAACAGCAGCAAGAGACAGGTGTCAAATAAGGCATAACTATATAAATGAACATGTGCAAGTAAAAATAAAATATACAAATACAATAATACAAATATATCTCAGCTGTATACAAGAGGTTATAAGGAGAAACTATACAGTACATTATAAATTATATATATGTTGTGTGTTTACCTGAATCCAGGTGGGTACATGCGCAGAGATTCACTTATAACCATGTCTAAATATTTAAACTCTGGAGCATTTGAGTAATCTTGAGACTCCTATAAAACAGAAATTAAGTTGAATTCTGTTGTTAGTATAAAATAAACACAAATGTAAAAAATGCTGTATTACACAAAATGGATTCTTGTACGCTTTAAGACATGTTATAATGATGTTATCTCATCAAAAACAGAAAAGGAGTTGTGTTTTGTTTCATTCACACTTGTTTGAGTATCAATTTCTTATGAGTCTGTTTACATCTCCATAGCTCAACATGCTCTGTTCCACTTTGTGATGTCATGTTTACTTCAGTAGATATTGGCAATTCCAGGGTTTAAAATCTAAACTATCCAAATGATTCTAGTGAAGGTGTATGGAGTTTAAAAAACACAGTGGAGTGATTAATGTTTGAGAGAAGAACTCAGTCTAAATGTGCAGAGTTTGTGTGTTAATGAAACAAAACATAACTCCGGGTCTGTTTGTAATGAAGAAACATTATAACGCAGATCAGAAAACAGCATAATATGGACCTTTTAAACTTGATGTCTATAAATGTTTGGACTCACATGTTCGAGTGTAGAAGTGGTCTATTTCCTCTTGGAGCTTGTGCTGACACTCGGGGTGCAGAGCCAGCAGGTAACAGGTGAAGGCCAGTGTGCCGCTGGTAGTTTCATATCCGGCCAAAAGGAAAACAAAAGCCTGACCTATGACCTCATCCTCTGACATGGTCTTTCTCTGTGATCGCCTCTGTAACTGTTCCTGCAGTGACAGGCTCCTGTTGCTACGGATGTGACAATAACAGAAATATTGTGATATCGTACAGTCAAAAGTTTCACAATAATGTTGAGGGTTGTCACCATATATAGATGATATATGATCTTTTTTTCCTTTTCAGCGCAGATGATATGAAGTGAATTTTTCTAAGTTCTTTGGAACATGATCATAATATAGCATTAAAGGCTTGTTACTGGGTTCTTTTTTCAGACCAAGACTTTGTTTTCATACCTGACAGTTTCACCTGCTCACTAGTGGTCTTCCTCAGCACATTATCCCAGGTGTGCAAGAGTAAAAAAGCCCCCTTGTCCGAGTTTATAAGAAGACAGCACCAAAACCTGTATAAATCAGCTGACTGGACACGTCACAGCAACATCATGTGACTCTGAGGAAGGCCACAAGTGAGCAGTCCAAACTGTCAAGTATGAAAATAAACTCTTGCTCTGAAAAAATAACCTAATAACAGAAATTATTGGGAGATCAAATGAATCTCATTAAGGCTTTTTAAAAGGAAAAAGTAGCATTTCTTCAATTCTGTTAGCATTTCTAAAATGTAGCAATAAATATTGTACAGTGAGATTTGCTTTTATCGATACATCCCTACCTGTTACTGTCTTTATTTAATGAAGCTGAGGTTTGAGGATCATCACTGTGGACTCCAGTGTCAAAGTGCTCCAAAGACACACTCTCATCCCCCCTGCTGCGCGCATCCAACATCAGCTGAAGGAAATCTCTGCGTCTCTAATTTATTAAAGAAAATAAAAATGAATTTCATCATTGGTTGAGCAGTCAGATCCACTGACCCACAAGTTGGCGGTGTGATTCCAACTTCCACAGATGAATGATGTCATTGTGTCATTGGCAGTGGAGAAAGGTGGACCTGGACCCTGGGCCTTCACTCGGACCAACTACTGGCAATCATGACATTTTTTTTTTTGGGGGGGGGGTGCACATAGGCCAGAATTTCCACCGGAACATAACTGAAGTGGCTGATATCAAGAAATCCTACCAATGTCTTGAGAGGGCTGGTCTGAAGGACAGCAGGCCCTGGGC